ATAAGTAGGAATTAATCTGTTTTCTTGTAGTTAGAATTTGTATTGTATCTGTGGTTTATAGATTGCGGTTTAATAATAGATTTAGTCTTCAGTAAGAAGCTACTACTTGTCATAATTACAAAGACAAAAACTAAAGAAATAATCAGACCTTATTCACTGTCTAGGTCATAATTTCAGGACATTTTGAGAAACTCTATTTGTCTAAGAAATAAGAAGCAAATATTTCCAGATCTTCGCTTTTCTACTAATAAGAAATCATCATAGTTCAGTCTGTTCCTTTTGTTTGAAACAGCAGACTTGTTTAATGATCTGATTTTCTTCCCTTAAAAATGAGGTATCACATAACCCTTTAAAAACAAACACACACACAAACCTTCAAATTAATCATGTTCACTCTGCTTCCTACCTATAAGACGGAAGTAATTATCCAGGTGCTGCATTTTTTAATGGATTTTTTTTTGCACCTGTATTGCAAGAAAATAATGAGGCCTCACATGGTGGAACAGATGTGATGTGTGCCTTAGATTTAGCACATTTCATTTTCAGAGACTCAAACAGAAGGGGGCACCCTTTTCCCCGAGGCAGATTTTTCTAGGTTTCTAGTCTTACCCTTGCCTTCGAGTCTGTCTTTGCTGTTAGGGTTTACTTTCAGATCCAAAAACCATATACAAATGTCTGCATTTTTTTTTTCAATTATATTGTTGTTAGATGCCATTGAGTTAACTACGACTGATAATAAACCTGTGCTGCACCATTCTTCAAGAATCTTCACCATGTTCAAGTTCATTGTTGCAGTCACTGTGTCAGTTGCGAGTCTTCCTCTCTTTTGCTAACCACCTACTTTCCCCAGCATCATAACTCAGTTGTAGAATGTCTCATACTTTGCTTTTTATCTTAATGAATCTGTATTTTGAGATAGAAATTGATTTAGTAAATACCATTCCAAAGTATTATATATAAAAGACTCTCTTACTACTATTAATATAGTTAACTGCCTTTTGGGGTTTCTTCATCCAGTGCTTGGTTTTCTTCCACAGACTTGGAGTTAATCTGAAATGTGGTTAAGTTTCAAGTACTTTAGAAGCTTTTCTGCTCAGGCTTGAAGCTCTGAAGTACCCTTGCGTCCCTTTCGTCCTGTCATTCTCCCTCAACTTGAGTGATAGGATAGGAAATAAGAACATATATGAGTTTCAGCATGAGATAGTAAAAACTTTGACTTGTACTGTTAACTAGTTTTGTGACTTCAAGTGATTTAACATTTTGAACCAGACCTTCATCTTCATTAAAAACCTACCTGGTACTTAGTTGCTGTGTACTACTGAGTCAGAACTGACATGTAGCTGACCCTCGGAAAGTTTACCTTCAGAAACAGTTAATCGTACAGGAGGAGATTGCCCATCTTTCTACCATGGAGCAGCTGGTGGATTTGAACCACACTTCAAGATTGCAGCACAGCTTCTTACCATAGACATCTTAATAATAAAGACCATCTTGTCTCCAACATCTACTCATAAAGGCCTCAAATATGGACTAAACATTACATAAAGTTTCTGTATTCTCAGTCTTAAAATTATGAATCAAAATTGAAAAGTCAGATTTACAGAGCCACTTCTGAATGACAAGAGGGAAATTTTGGAAAGTTCACAAGAACTCGTACTTGGTTGGAAACCCAGTTAAACTGTGGTTGCTCCTCAGGTTGCTTTCTTCCCTACATTTTCTCAGACACTTCTTTCTTATATTTGCCTTTCTCTTTTCCAACTTGCCAATATTTGACTTTACATTCAAGAATATTTTTTTTATCTTTATCCAGTTTCAGCCTGGTAATAACCACCTTGCTTGGGTGAAAGACCACATGCACAGTTGTACCATTAGCCTTCTCATGCTGCATTCTGTGGATGTACATGACATACTTCTTTCTGTCTCCTTGGATTACCTTGCCAATTTGCTGACCATTGTAGTGGCCTCACACCACCTGGACCTCGTCGTCCTTGAAAATGGGCATGGGCTTGTACTTCTGATGCAGCCTCTTGAGTAGTGGGGAGAACATGATCTTCCTGTGCCCTTGCAAGGAGGCATTGAAGTGGTGATTGTGGTTCTTAAGTGCAGTCCGAGATCATGAAAGGGTTGAACTTCATGGTGACTATTGGGCAAGCCATCAGCATCAGACTCTACACCACGCGCAAGATCCTCTCTTTTTCTTTTAAAATATGATTTTCTTTGGGCTCCTTAGTCAAAGAATGACACTCTTTGTCATTTTCTGTTAGTTTTAGATACATTATTCCCCCAAATTAAGCTCTGAATCTTACTGGAACTCCTAGACTGTTCTTTACTGACGACTTCAGAGACTATACCAACCGTAGCTGAATCTAGGATGGGGCTCATTTGCATCCATTTCTTCTTCATGACCGTTATGACTGACAAGCACTGGCTGAGGCTTTGCCAGTAAAGATGATCTATTAGCATATGATTCATAGTGACCTTATGAACAGTAGTCTGAACCTTATCCTATCTTGTGCCGTCCTCACAATCTCTGCAATACTCAATCCCAATGCTGCAGTCACTGTCAGTCCATCTGATTGGGTCTTCCTCTTCTTCATCAGCTTTTTACCTTTCCAACATGATGTCCCTCTCCAAGGAATGCCTATCTTAGCGACAGGCAGAGAAGGTGCAGCCAGAGAGTGCTCCTTGAGGCAAAGATGATGAAGTTTGGTCTCACACATTTTGGGCATGTTGCTAGGAGAGATTATTCCTTGGAGAGGGACATCATGCTTGGAAAGGTGGAGGGATGAGAAAATCCTCAACCAGATGGATTGACACAGTGACTGCAGCAATGGGCTTGAGGATGTCAGAGATTGTGAGGATGGCACAGGATAGGACAGGGTTCAGATCTCTTGTTCATAGGGTCATTATAAACCATAGTCGACTCAAGGGTACCTAATAACAAACTGCAGCAACGTGCCCAAAGTTTGTGAGATGAAGCTTTATCACCTTTGCTTCCACGGAGCACTCTGGCTGCATCTTCTCTAAGACATATAGTTTGAATTTTTTTTATAGTCCTTTGAAGAAACCTTCCATAAAGTTCTTTGAAAGGCTTCATTCATTACTTTCTGGAAGACTTGTAATTGATCCCTGGATGAGATCCTTAAGCTCTTCAGAAGTAGATCCATTTAGGTGTTGTTTTTTGGTTTGTTTTTTTTAATCAGTAAATGGTATTACTGTACAGTATTACTAACAAAAGTTTTTATTTTTTTTACTTTCTGAAGTTTTTTTCCCTCTTTCCCTTTTTTTAAATTATTTGTTCATTTATACACACTTTTCTCCCTTCTTTTGTGGATTCTTAATTGTCATATACATGGTTTCTCAACATCCATTCCTCTCAGAATGTCCTTTCCCCTCCCCATTTCAGAGCAGTATTCGTTATCTATACATTCTTTTCCCACTCTCCCAGTGAGTTTTGATATAAGCTATGGTCGTTGATTTCTTCCAGCTACTGTGAAAGTTAGCCCACACAGTTATTGGGTTGTTAGAGAATTAACACATCCTGATTCATTTTGAAAACTCTCATTCTTCAGTCAGGACAGCTTCTCAAGTCCTTTAACTTTCAACTTCACTTCAGAGTCCTTTTCATTTTGCCAGTTATGGCATCTGTCATCTACCCCACTCATGCCCTTATTGCCATGGCCAGTAAGCCTAGATGAAGGACTTTGGCTCTAACTCTATGAGGCAGCATTTCTAGTTCAGCTATTTCACACCAGTCTCTTTTTCTGCTGGTGCTGCTTTGTTGCTGCTGCTGCTGCTGCATTGGTCTGATCTGAGTTTTCATCTGGAGCAGGTATCCCTGGCCCAAAAGGATGTGCTGTACTCTTCCTCCTTGATGGTAGTAAGATTTCCCCCTGCCTCCAGTTCTTTTGACATCATTTCCATTTACCACCAATCCAGGCTTGGTAATTGAACTTTCTCAATCTTTACTATGGAGAAAAAAAAGATTGAAAAGTATGGTTCATGATTTATTTAAATGAACATGTATAAGTCTAATACTGAGAGAAAAAAAGGTGAAAGGTAAATCTATGATATTTTGCAAGCTTTGGGTTCACCCACATAACCTACATTTTGTTGACTCTCGGGTTACTATGGAACCAGTTTTTACTTCATTAGTAACCAGAAATCCATAATCTTGATTCTCTACGTGACTGATTAATAGTGATATTAAGACTACTTGTTGTCAGGTTGATTCAGACTCCTGGTGATCTCATGTATGTCAAAGTAAATTGCCCTCCTTGGAGTACACCCTGGTCTTACCTTCTTTAGACATCTTGTCAGGAGGAGCTAGGCCCTGGAAAAGGATCTCATCCTTGAAAAAGTGGAAGGTCAGTGCAGGAAAGAAAGACCTTCAACAATATAAACTGACCCAGTGACTGGAACAGTGGATTTAAGCACAGAAAAGATTGTGAAGATGGTACAGGATTGGGCAGGGTTGCATTCTGATATCAGCAGGATTGTTTTAACTGTAGGAATGTGAGTCTGAAATTGGAACCCATAAAAACTGGATAGAGGGAGCAGTGGTAAGGAAGTCAGTATATCGTAGAAATGAATTACTAAGCTTCACAGTGATCTGATATGACAACAAAAATTATAATAAGAATGAAAATTCTAAAAATTAAAATGTTAGATGTTTTGGAAAAAATTGCAAGGCTGATTATAATAATATATTGTGCCAATAAACAGTTACTTTAGTTAATGTAATTGTTAAGAAACTTGGTAAGTTAACCTTTAAAATAGTTTTGCATTGTTTTAGGTTTTTTTTGGCATTTGCTTAAATTAGCTATTAAAGATAGTTTAGTATGTGTGCTGCAAAAGCAAGCACAGGTGTTACAGATATTTTTAAAAATAAATTTGCCAAAACAAAGTGACTTTTCAGTTATGGTAAATAGACTATTCAGGAATGTTTTATTGTACAATAACAGATGATTTGCAGTTTTAAATATATCATTTTATTTCAGATTACAGTGTAAGATTTTGGAAGTTGTCCCTCCATCACATCAAAATGGTCTTGCTAATGGACATGTCAACCGTGGAGATGGAGAAACAATTATTATCAGTGATAGTGATGATTCAGAAACACAAAACAATTCTTTCCAAAATGGGTGAGTGATTTTTATTAATTTTAAAATTGTTTATCAGCTTATTCCATTGAAACACTTTTCCCTTTCATTCCATCTTCTCTTGTCTAGAGATTCTTCTGTGATATACTACTCTCTAAACAATCTAGTTTTCTAAATAAAAGCTAGTTAAATTAGTTTTATCTGATTCACATTAAAGTTACTTGATAACTTTAGTCAGCTGTATAAGAGCAATTAAATCTAACCCTCATTTGCTTATATTTAGACATTTCACTTTTGTTTACTTGAGAAAATTAATTCTATATTTAATTTCAATATTAATTCTCTTTATGGTGAATCTGATAAAGAAACCCTGAAACCTTCTAAAGTTTAATTAATTGACCACCTAGATCAAGTGGGTACAATTGGAGAAAAATCACAGCATATACATTTAAAATTTAAAATCTTAGCAGAGTTTTCTGTAATAACCATTCTAGCTTTTCAGTGCTCCATTCGACTCTCTTGTTTCCTTTTAGACATATCAAACTTTAGAATATTCTCTGTAGCACACGATGTCTGTCTCTCTAATTTCATTTCACATGGAGCCTCTGATGAGTTTACAGCATCCACCTTGTGATGAGCAGCCATGTGCCTAACCATTCCATTCATAACTCACACTCCTTGCTGGCAAGACAGAATTGACTCCTAGTTGACCCCCAGCAGGTTTTCAGAGGCTATAAAATAACAAGGAAGATGATTGCACATCTTGTTTCCTCAGAGCAGTTGGTGAATTCAGACTACCAGGGGGAAGCCACCTTTGAGTGAGCAGCACAACTCTACCCACATCAGAGCTCCCTGCTTTAATTCCACTGCCAGGATTGTTAAATTCTAATTATTGTTGTTGTGTACCATTAAGTCAGAAACAACCTATCGCTATCCCTTCAGTGGGTTTTGACAAGGTAAATCCTAAGGGGAAAGACTGCCCATTTTTCTCATGGAGCAGCTGGTGTTTTTTAACCACTTACCTCCGTGTTGGCAGCACAGTTTTTCACCAGGACATTCTAAATCCCAGTTGATGGTAGTAAATATTTTGCCTTTATTGAAGAATTCTGTTGTTCTGGATATAACAAGTTTATAACAAAGCATAATTGATTTGCCTTATCTTTTGTTTATAAGTATTTGGGATATATCCTTGAAATAGAAAAAGTAAGCTGGTAAAATTATTTTATTAATAGATATTTTAAACCCCCTTATGAGCTTTTGCTTATACCTCAGCATTATCAAATGTCTAATTGTAGCTTGCTACTATAGAATCTTAAGATCATCAGATAACAGTAAGGATAGAAACATAATCATCTTTTAAGTTTTGTTCTGTTGAGTTAGAACCATTAATTCCTAACTTAAGGGAGTAATTACTTCTGGGTCACTCTCCCCTAAAATAACAATATGGATTTTCTCATATTTCAGTAGATGGGTTGAGGGGAAAGGGATGAAACAACTGTGAGGCCATAGAACAGCATTCGTATGTCATCTCATTGATTCCTCAGAGCCAATCTATAAGGGTAAGTCAGTCATATTTGCATATCACTGAGGAGAAATGGCTATTTAAAGTGAAAAAAATATTCTCAACATATGTCTGCATGATGTTCTAAGGCAGCACATTTGGAATTGAGTTAGAATGTTCAAACTAATCTCTGAGAGTTTTAGAAATAAAATATTTTTATATATTTCGGGAAGTACACGCATGATTATTTCAAAAAGTTTAACTTCTACAATTAACTTTTTTCTTAATTCTGCTTATTTTGTTGCTATTGCTGAAAATATACATAGCAAAACATATCAAGTAAGCAGTTTTCTACAAGTACAATTTAGTGACACTGAATACATTCTTCAGCTTGTGTGGCCATTCTCAACTTGCTTTTCTAAACTATACCTCTGTCATTAATATATACATTTAGTGCCCCTGATTCCTATCTGATCGTTAGAGGTGCTGTAGTCAGTTTGATCCCATATAGAGTGTTCTTCAAAGAGTGTAATGCCTAGTGCATTAATTGTTAAGATTAGCTGTTCAATTTTAAAGATGATTTCAGGAATCTTTTTGGTTTAAGGTTTAAAAATAATCTCAGGAATAGAACAATCAGGGATTCATGTAGTTTGCATCCAGAGTTCATGAGAATTTAAAATTCTGTTATGCATTTTCCACTTTTGATTATTAAACTTCTGTAGACTCTTTGATCAAAATATTCAGTAAGGTTCTTAGAAACTTTAAATGGCTTCTATAAACTTAAAGCAAAAAAAATCACAATAGAAATTTATTTTTAAAAAACCAGAATAAATAACATCTTCAGCTACCCTTGCTCTTGAATTACATAGCTATTAAGCAGAAAGTTTAAAAGCAAAATCAAACCCAGCCTAAACTAGATACTGTTGTTGTTGTTGTTGTTGTTGTTGTAATTGTTGTATACCATCCAATTGGAACTGACTTACAACTGACCCACTAATAGGTTTTCAGAGACAGTAATTACACGGAGGATATTACCTGTCTGTCTTCCATATAGCCCCTGGTGAATTTGAACACCTGCCTTTGGGTTGGCAATGTAACTCATTACTACTAAGCTACCAGAGCTCCCTAAGGTGAACATTACTCTATGTTTATTAATATCTCGTTAACTTATTTACCTAAGGTATTCAGTAATTAAAATACTTTAGACAATACTACTAGACAAAACATTGGTGGTTCTTATCTACCTGTCATTCAAAGAGGTAGTTTTGAAACTGACTTGAGGTCAGTGGATTTTTTAATATGCAGTTGTTGTTGTTGTTATGTGCCGTCGAGTCGTTTGCGACTCATAGCGACCCTATGTACAACAGCCCTAAACCCTGCTCTATCCTGTGCCAGTCTCATTGCCTCCAACACACCCATCCCGATTATACCAGTCACTGAATCAGTCCACCTCATAGAGGATCTTCCCCTCCTGCGCTGTCCCTCCACTCTGCCCAGCATGATGTCCCTCTCCAAAGACTTGTCTCTCCTTGCAACATGTCCAAAGTATGTCAGGCGAAGCCCCAGAATCCCTGCCTCCAAGGAGCAGCCTGGTTTAACCCTCTCTAGGATGAATCTGTTTGTTTTCTTGGCAGTCCATGGTACATTCAGTACTCTTCTCCAGCACCACAGCTCAAAGGCATCAATTCTCCTTCTATCCTCCCTAGTCATTGTCCAACTCTCTGATGCATAACAAATGATTGCAAAAATCATGGCCTGTATCAGGTGCACCTTAGTCTCCAGAGAGACACCACTACTCTTGAGTACTTTAGAGAGGTCCCTAACCGCAGACTTTCCCATCGCAATACGTTTTTTGATTTCCTGGCTACTGGTGCCAAGAGTGTTGACCATGGAGCCGAGCAAACTGAAGCTGTGAACAATCTCAATCTCTTCACCATCCATCCTAAAATAAAATCATACACATAATATGCAGTAGTTGTATATTTTAGTATTTTAGCTGAGGGTGATGGGAGTGTCATTATACTTAGTGTTAATTGTACTTTTGATAAGCTGTAAAGTACTGGTTAAGATAAAAGTTGTGAGAGTCTTTCACTGACCCTTTTAGAAACTGTTTCCAAAATGTTAGTTTTTAAGTAAATTATCAACTGATTTGTGTATTCCTCCTTTTTCTTTTTAGGAAGAAAAAAGATGCAGTTGATCCCTTGTTATTTGAGTACAAGGTTCAATCCACTAAAAAAGAATTCTATGAATCCATTATTGTTAAAGCAACACAAATCAGGTAAAATTCAATATCTTATCCACAGTAGTAAAACAGTAATAAGTCATATTGGATTAAAAAGGTCTTACAAAACAAATGTGTAGTGTTAAAAGTGATTGCTTTCCTTTTATAAATAAGTACCTGTTTATATTCTTACAGACTAATAAATGAACCCTAAAGGACTCCATGATTCCTTTGTTTAGTAACTAACCCCAAATAATATTTAACATGGGAAGAATGAAAAATGATACCATTTATGAACTACTTTTCATCAGAGATGCTTTATTGCTTTAATTTGTTAATCTATAAAGTAGCCCGACAAGTAGGACTTTCTGAGATGATGGAAATTATATTTGTGTACAGTTCAAGTATGATAACCAAAAGTGATTAGCTCTTGAGTACTTGACAATGTGACTAGCGAGAATGACTAGCCAGTTCCAACTTGATGGTAGTGAGTTGAGTTTGGCTTAACTGTATGGTAGTAGGATATAGCAGTGATCAGAGGCTTCTAAAACGTAAATTCACAGAATATATGGCACATTAACAACAACAATACATAGTTTTGGGAGGGCCACAACCTAAAATGCCTATATTATTTATTTCACTCACAGAAGCTTTTAACTTGGAAGAAAAGTATTAATTTAAATTAAAACATTTACTTCTAAAACTATTCCAGAAATACCTGTACTGTTTTGTTTATGCTGTTAAAGTTGATGGTTTGTTTTGTGGGTTTTTTTTTTAAACTTCAGGGCAAGGGAGAATCATAACTAATATAATTTTAGGATCTTAATTTTTTTATTCTCTTTAGTTGTGATTGCACACTAATTTGTTGGTTGCCAAGTAAAGTTTAAACACAAATTGATTTCAGATTTGATAAAGCCTGTGAAGCAAAAAGGGAGCTCTGGTGGCACAGTTTTTAGATACTTGAACTGCAAACACAAAGGTGGCACCTCTCTGACAGTTCATATCCACTAGCTGCTCTGCAGAAAAATTAGTAGGTCCCTCCCATGTAAATTATGGCCTCTGAAAACCTGCTGGAGGATCACTGTGAGTCAGTTCCAACTTGACAACAATGAGCTTGAAACGTTTTTTGAAAGAAGGAAAAAGCAATATACTATAAGGCATTGATCTGCATAATACCAGTAAAGAAAGGAAAGACACAAAGAGGTATTGTTATGGAAATAATAGTGATTGTTGTGGAAATCAGAATAATAGGGAGGAAATGGGAGAGGTATGGTTATATTGAAGATAGTTTAATTATATAGTATAGGAAGCCATCCTGAGTAGATCTTAACTCTGCCACTGATAACACTTTGACTTGCAGCCGCCACCCTTGTCCATCTCTGGGATTATGCCTACCTCTTAAATCAACACCTGTAAATCAACACTTTAGGGCATGCCCCTCCCTCTCTTTTGTAAACTGATAACCTAGGGCTGGGTTCCCTGGCAGCCCGGCCTACTCCACTGCCTATTTATAGCAGAATTCATCGAATAAATTTGGGGCTTGATCAGAAATCTTTGTCTAGCCCCTATCTCTCGTGTCCCTGTTCCTCTTTTAATCCACACAGGTTCCACTCTAGAACACGTATGAACCCGCAAGTCGGTTTCAGCTGGCGGCCTCAATATAGAACAAAATGTGATTGAATGGTTGAATGAAAATTAACTTACTTTGAAACTTCACTCATATCACAATCAAATTTTTTTAAATGTAAAAAATTATAATACAAAAATAAGTTAGTAATAATAGGCATAGATCAGTAGCAATTAATTATATCAAATGCAGTGTATGGAAATGATTGTATGAAACAATATAAACATTGAAAACCAATTTAAAAATATTTGCTAAGCACTTTATCTTTCCTTGCTGCATATGAATGTCCTTGCTGACGCCCTCCAGATCATCAACAATGCTGAAAGAGGCAGGCGCCAGGTTCTTATTAGGCCGTGCTCCAAAGTCATAGTACAGTTTCTGACAGTGATGATGAAGCATGACTACATTGGCAAATTTTAAATCATTGATGATCACAAAGCAGGGAAAATTGTTGTCAACTTCACAGGAAGGTTAAACAAAGGCAGCTCAAAGATGTAGAAAAATGGCAGCCTAATCGGCCTCCGTCCCGTCAGTTTGGTTTCATTATACTGACAACCTCAGCTGGCATTGTGGACCAGGAGGAAAATTCCTAGGATTCTTTTTCTAAGGATGAAATAAACAGTGCAAATAAAATGCCTCAGTGAAAAAAATTAAAAATTTGTTAAAATTCACATTGAACTCTATTTACAACATTCATCTGAATGCTCATTTATCTCAGTCTTATATATGATACCATACTGGTTCTAAAATTTTACACTCATGATATTTATAGAGATCGTCTAATTTTATAAATTAAGTTTACTTTCTCAAGTAGATTTTCTTTGAGGTTTCTTTTATTTCTGAATACCAGAAATCTGAGTAACAAATAGGTCATAGTAATAAGCATACTATTTTGGTAATGAACTTTTTATAATGGAACCACTTGAGTATATCTTACAACATTCTATATAAAATTCTACATAAAATTTTTAGTAATTGCTGTATATTAATATTATTAGGTAAATTTCAGGGACTAGCTTAAGTAGAATTCCTTAATACTTTCTTCCTCCCCTGTTTTCCTGTAGCCGGAGAAAACACCTTTTTTCTCGTGATAAACTAAAGCTTTTTCTGAAACAACACTGTGAACCACAAGATGGCGTCATTAAAGTTAAGGTAATCAGAATATTATACAAAACAATTTTTAATATGTTTCTTTATACTTCCAGTTGGATCATTTGCAGAATTTCTAGGTGACTCAATTACCTTTTCCTTTTTACTTTGTTTTTTAAAAAAACCCCAAACAGCCCAAACATAGATCAACTAACATTAAAAAAAGGTATGGATATTATAATAATAATGGGGAAGCTCTAGCTTTCTAATAGTATATTCCTGGCTCACAAGTAAAAATATCAAAGAACACTGCAAAAACAAATCATCTTGGATAGAAACATTGTAGACCAATACTAAAACAAAACCATTAAGAAAAAAAGTTAACTTTAAAGATTTCTTATATTGTATATTAAATAAAAAGCTCAGCGGTAAAACTCATTTGTAAACTAGGAAACGATTTGGGGATAGAGTATGGGTGATAGTGATCAAATAGATTAAGAGAGGTAGGTATTTGTCACATAACAGTTAAATATGTAAAATTTATATATTTTATTGAGTGGTAATTTTACACAAGGAGGGGAAAGAATGAAACAACTGTTAATGATCGAGATATTTAAATATTTAGGAAGAGGAAAGAAACACCACTTATAAGATTGATTTAATCATATTTATATGGGTTTAAAATATGAACAAATTCAAAGACAAATGCTGGTGGGAAAATACCTTTAGTGAATAACATTGTGGTGCTTAAATCACTTAGGAAAATCATGGCATCTTGGAAAAATAGTAAACAATCAGGATTTTTAGTGGATAAAACTTAAAACAGAATAGAAAAAGTATGGAAAATATTCTCATACTTTATTAGTAAAGAAAGACAAAATTAAAATAGTAAGACATATTCTGTGAAATAAGTTTTTTTAAAAAAAAACCAAAATGTGTTACTTCTTTAACATTTTATGAGGGTAAAGATTCTGCAAAGCTTTTTGCTAATGTTAAAAACTTTCAAAACAATTTCTTTTTCCCTATTTCTAAGAATTATGTGAAAGAAATAATTTAAATGTGTGTGTGTATATATATATATAATATATATATGCGTAGAATGCATAACTCATGTAAAATGATGCTTACAGATATTTTAACAGTTTTAGATACTTGTGATAAATGACTAAAGCCAGGATCTGGCAATTGGAGGCAGTCAGTGGATATAGAAATAGCTGTGTGTATAGTATTTATCTTTAACAACCAGGTGGGCAGTTCCTCTAATTTACAAAGATATACACATTAATGAACAAAATCGAGTTAGGGAAAAAGTGAATTAGAGACACCAGCATAGATTCCACCAAAAATAGAACATAAACAGTAAACATAAAAAGGAACTCGACTTAAAAGAAATGAAAATTAAAGTGACAGTAAGTATTTTCCACTTAAAGTATAATAAAAGATTTTTATTGGATATTCTGGTTATTTGAAATATGCACAGTCATACCACTACCCCTATACACAGGAAAAAATCAAAGGTATATTCCCAGTATTAATGAGTGCCGGCATCTGTTAGTAGAACACAAAAATAGGAGTTTACTATATGTTGTGTATGGATAAGTAACCTGGAAATAAAAAGGTGGGTTTTTGTTTTGTTTTGTTTTATTATTTGTGTGTGTGTACCGTCAAATCAGATCTGACTGGTACAGGAGGAAATGGTCCCTCCTTCCCCGGCAGACCATCTGGTGGATTCGAACCATGCGCCTCTGGGTTTGCAATGCAGCTTCTTGCCACTAGGCCACCAGAGCTCCCCAAAAGGGTTTAAAAAAAAAAATTTAGAACATGTTTTTTAAATATTTGTAGAGAAGAAATTACCAATGTGCTTTTTTTAAATTACATTTTAATGAAAGTTTACAGAGATTTTGGATTTCCATTCATACATTATTGCACACTTTCCTCCCTACACAGCCCTCCCTCCAGTTTGCTTTTCTCTTTGAAGAAAATAAAATTTAAAAATAATAAAAATTTTTTTCATTGTTGCACAGTCCTCCCTCCCAAGTCCACTTCACTATGCAGCTCTTATTCTGGACTCTTGTCATGAAAGTAATACCTAATCATATATTCCATTTAAATACTTCTCTCCCTCATCTGTTTCAATGCAGTATACATTATTTCTCCCCTCTTTTCTTAAGTTCCATCCAACCCTGATGTCAGTCCTGTTTTACAACAGCTGCACTATGCAGTATTTGTCCTTTTGTGAATGAGATATTTCACTCAGCATAGTGTCCTCCAGAGTCACCCATTTTGTTTATTTCATGAGTTCCTTGTTATTCAGTGCAGCATAGCATTGTGTGAATATACCACCGTTTCTCTATCCATTTGTTTGTTGATGAGCACTTGGGCTGTTTCCAACTCTTTGCTGTTGTGAACAAAGCAGCAATAAACATGGGTGTGCAACCAGTGTGCTTTTAAGGAGCAATTACTGGGCTGTTTTAGGGACGATGATAGCCAGTCATCTCAATAGAATATACTTTAATATAAAATCTTATTTTTCCTTGGTTTATTTTAATAGTTGGAGTGACTTGTATGTATTCTGCCAAATAATTGAGAGTTTTCCTGTAGAAATTTTCCTATTTTGCTTTATGTCATTTTTTTAGCATACATTTCCCAAAAGATATTTCTATAAATGGCACATATTTTCTTTGAGAGGAAGAAAGAGCAATGATTTTGTCTAAACACACACACACACATCTTCAGAATTATTCATCAGAAAGAAATTCCATGATTGGATATGGATTAAAGATGAAAAAACTATAGATATAAAGTAGAGAGGAATGCTTTAGGAATATCACTCCAAACTAAGGAAAGGGAGAAGCAAACCTAAATGTTTAGTTAGGAGAAATGGTCAGGGAAAATAAACCGAGTTACTACAGTGGATTTTTTTTTAGTATACCATCTATTGATTATTTACATAAGATCTTACACAAAATAAAAAACCCAAATAAACAAAAAATATGTAATTGCAAAATAATTTTAGAATTCAAGAAACTAGAAACATTTTTGAGGCATTTTGTGGTGAAATAATTGTCTGAATTGAGATTTTTCTTTCAGGTAAACTAATTACTGTCATTTTAAAAAGGAATGAATAAACCACCTAAATTTGTGGTATTAGACAATATACTCAAAATTCCAGTATTTTTTTATCTTGTCTTTAACAATGATTATATGGGATGTCATGCTTGGAAGGATGGAAGGATAGCACAAGGGAGGAAGAACCTCGATAAGATGGATTGATTCAGTGGGTAAAGGGTGTAGGTGTGTCAGAGACAATAAGATTGGCACAGGATAAAGCAGGGTTTGTTGTACATAGGGTTGCTATAAGTTGCAGGTGACTCGGCACATAACATTATGATATGTTACAGTGAATCTACATATGGTTCACTAATGTGTTAATATTGTACCTTGTGTCTTTTTTTTTTATGAAGGCCTCATCTCTTTCAATATATAAAATAGAAGAACAGGATTTTTCTTATTTCTTCCCTGATGAGCCACCCACATTTCTCTTTAGTCCTGCTAGCAGAAGAAGGGGGAGACCTCCTAAACGAATGTCTATAAGTCAGGTAAGTAGAGAATAAGTAAAAACTACATTATTGTATTCAAAGCCAAAAGCACTGTTAGTCTTTATTTGCATATATTGTAGGAAGGAATTCATTTTGCCTTGAAATATATGTGAATTCGGTGCTGATAACCGCTAAACAACAGTAAGGCTTACAGAGGATATAAGTGTGAATTACACATGGTTCCCTTGCCACAAGAATTTTAAACCAAAGTTTGAACACAGACTGATAAGAAATGATTGAAAATTAAGGGGCTGAAATTGGGGAAATAAATGATGGGATTGCAACATAAAAAGCAATGGATGATAATTTATGGAAATAACAGAAAACTTTAAGAAAGCCCAGTGCTTCAGCTCATAAAAATGATTAAACAAGGAGGTGAGAAAGGCAATTAAAACATAAATAAGGTATTCATTTGTCTGGCATCAGTGAGGAGGGTGTGCATTGCAAACCCAAACCCAAACCCATTGCTGTTAAGTCTTTTCAATTTATGTAGTGACCATATAGCTGAACTATAAATACATGGAAATGTCCTTTCTAAAAATCTTTCTTAACAGTTATTTGTATGATGTAGAGACTGAAAATAGATATTATCCCAAAAATTACAGTCTAAATCATTGGTTTAGTGTATACAAGAGAGACCTTAGAAAGCAAATTCAATTTTTTTTAAATAATTTTAATGAACATTTACAGAGAATTTGGATTTCCATTCATTCATTGCTGTACTTCTCTCCCCGCCCAGCCCTCTCCCCCCGCCCCCCAGTTCGCTCCTCTCTTTCAAAAGTAAAAGAAAGACTCCCTCCCTGGTACACAATCCCCCCGCACCCCTCCCACCGCCCCAAGTACATTCCACTATGCAACCTTAATTGTGGACTCTTGTGATAACCATAATACCCTATCATACATCACTTTTAAATTATTCAGTCCCTCATCTGTTTCAGTGCAGTATACACAATTTATCCAGTTTTTCTCAGTCTTACCCCCACCCTGATATCAGTCCCATTTTACAGCAGTGGCACCATGCTACATTTGTCCTTTTGCGACTGAGATATTTCACTCAGCATAATGTCCTCCAGGCTCACCCATTTTGAATAATATTGAATGAGTTCCTTGTTTTTCAATGCAGCATAGTATTCCATTGTGTGAATATACCACAGCTTCTCTACCCATTTGTTTGTTGATGGGCACCTGGGTTGTTTACAACTCCTTGCTATTGTGAACAGAGCTGTGGTAAACATGGGTGTGCATATATCTGCTTAGATGTCAGTTATGGTCTCTTTGGGATATATTCCCAGTAGTGGAATTGCTGGGTCAAATGGTATCTCTATTTGCAACTTTTTGAGAAAGCGCCATACTGCCTTCCACAGTGGTTGTACCATTTTACACTCCCACCAACAGTGAATAAGGGTCCAGTTTCTCCACAACCTCGCCAGCATTTGTTGCTTGCTGTTCTATTAAAATTTGCTATTCTGACTGGGGTGAGATGATATCTCATAGTTGTTTTGATTTGCATCTCTCTTAGAGCTAGGGATTTTGAACATTTCTTCATGTGCTTGATGGCCATCTGAATGTCTTCTTTGGTGAAGAAAATAAATATTCTTAAAAGAAAACTTTGTGAAAAGTATAAAGGAAAGGAAAATTTCTAGCAGAAAGATAAGGACAATGGTGCAGCCACTATGGAAGGCAGTATGGCACTTTCTCAAAAAGTTACAAATAGAAATACCATTTGACCCAGTAGTTCCACTACTGGTAATATACCCCAAAGAAACCATAACTGCCACCCAAGCAGATATATGCATGCCCATGTTTATCACGGCTTTGTTCACGATAGAGCTGGGAAGCAAGTGCCCATCAACAAACGAATGGGTAGAGAAGCTGTAGTATATTCACACTATGGAATACTACACTGCATTGAAAAACAAGGAACTCATGCAATATTATTCAAAATGGGTGACTCTGGAGGACATTATGCTGAGTGAAATATATCAGTCACAAAAGGACAAATGCTACTGTAAAACAGGACTGACATCGGAGTTGGGGGAGAGACTGAGAAAGATGGGATAAATTATGTATACTGCATTAAAACAGATGAGGGAGAGAACTATTTAAAAGGGATATATGATTAGATATCACTGTCATGGCAGGAGTCCAGAACGAAGGCTGCATACTGGAGTGAACTTGGGGGAGGGATTTTAACAATGAAAGAATTTTTCTTTCACTTTTCAAAGAGAAGAACGAACTGGAGGGGAGGTTGTTGGCCAGGAGAAAAGTGCAACATTGAATGAATGGAAATCCAAAATCTCTGTAAATTTTCATTAGAATTAATAGTAAAAAATAATAATAATTTAAAAAAAAATTTAAAAAAATAAACTCTACCAAAACATTGAAAATTATTGTCTCTTAGTTATTTTTTCCTTTTATTGGATATATTTTAAAATATTCTGTATGCCTGTGAAAAGAAATAAAAAAGCTCGTCAAAAAGCTAAAAAAAAGATTAAAATAAAGAAGAAAGATAAGAATAGTACAAGTTGAGTATTCATCTTAATTCTTTTGTGCTCACTTTCTAACTTTCTTCTCTCAGAGCCTTTAATAATGAGAAATATTCCCCCTTCATGTGATTACTAAGAATCTCTTCCAGAATCTGGGTTGACTTTCTTACTATTTTATTTTCCTCTTGTCATCCTTTTGGTCACTTTTTTTCTCCTAGTACTTTGTTAGTGGCACACTTGAGGTTTTTTATGCTAGATGAAGCTTTATTTCCTACTTGCAAATGATTTTCTATAATAAATGATCTTCTTGCCCTCTTGTTCACCACTGTGTTTAGTATTCTGCCTGGAAAAAAACTAAGTACTTATTCAAATGAATTGTTTCATTTTCTTGTGGTGGTTGTTAAATACCATTGAGTTGGAATTAACCCATGGCTGACCCTCCAGCAAGTTTTCAAGATATCACGAACAAAACAGAGACATTCTTGTAAGAAATAAAATGAAAAGACATTTTTAGTATTGCTTAATGTCTTTGCTCTCTTTCATGGTTTAGATTTCTAATTTAGTAAGTAACGTGGAAGATTTCCATCCTCCCCTTCTTCTAATGCAAATTTTTTTGAACGTGAACTCTCGGTCTTTTCTCACCTACTCTCTTGGTTGAGTGTGCATACACGTGTGCTTTTACAGATGTAAAACTAGTTTTCCCTGATAGGTTCTTAGACCAATTTGTAGAGCTACAGAATTAATAGTTTTACATACTAAAGGTAAAATCAGTGAAGGTTTTAAGGGTTTTTTTGGGGGGGTTCTTACTTTAAGAACATGGCATATTATCTGTTTTTGAATGTAGTCCTGCAACTTTAATTTCTTGGTTTGTTTTTTTAGGAGAGTATTATTAGTACACAGACTATTACAGGATATAGGAACAAAGCTATTAAAGAGAAAAACAGATTTTTAAAACAAGAAGAAATGAAGTCACTAGGTAAGTTTCCAAACTCTCTCCAAAGACTATTTAGTGATAGAAAGGACATTTTAGAAATTATGCTGGGATCAGGGATGCTTCTAAAATTACTTATTTATGGTTCATTATTTTGAAGTTGTTGTTTGTTGTTATGGGCTGTCACATTGGAACCAACTCATAGCTTACCCTCCAGTGGGTTTTCAGAGGTTGTAAATCACAGGAGGAGATTACCTATATTTTTCCCTTAGAGTAGCTGGTGGATTTGAACCACATACCTCTGTGATAGCAGTGCAATTCCTTTCCCACTAAATCACTTTTTTTTAGTCATTTCTTAAAATGATATCTCAAGGTATAGCATATCCCCATTAAATTGATATAATGCTAAATTACATAAGGTGTTCGGAGGCTTCGTCTAACATACTTTGGACATGTTGTAAGGAGGGACAGGTCCTCGGAGAGGGATATCATGCTTGGAAGGGTAGAGGGACAGTGCAGGAGGGGAAGGCCCTCTATGAGGTGGATTGATTCAGTGACTGGGGTAATTGGGATGGGTGTATTGGAGACAGTGCAATTGACACCAGACAGAGCAGAGTTTAGGCCTGTTGTACATAGGGTCGCTATGAGTTGCAAGCGACTCGACGGCACATAACAACAACAATGCTAGATTAACCACAAATTGGACTTTACAGTACCTGTGGACAACTATGAGCTATCACTGCCTCCCAAACTTGACTGTACATATGACTCATATGGGAACCTTGTTAAAATGAAGGTTCAAAATTAGGTCTGAGATTCTCCATTTTTGACAGAGTGACAGTTTGCTTCTGAATCATGTTTTGAGTAAAAGGGCTTTTAAAGCAAGGACTGTCTCAATGGAGTCTTTGTCTTAAACCTAGAAAACTTCTTTTCCTCACTTAGATCAGCTGCTGATTCCCTCCAGGATTTATATCTACTATGAATCTCTGCTGATCTCCCTTAACCTTAAATTCTTTTTTTAATAAACTAAATGCTATTTCACCTCTACAGCTTTTGAAAAGGCTAAATTAAAAAGAGAAAAAGCAGATGCCCTAGAAGCAAAGAAAAGAGAAAAGGAAGTTAAAGAGAAAAAGAGGGAAGAATTGAAAAAAATTATTGAAGAAGAGAGACTAAAGAAGAAAGAAGAAAAGGAAAGACTTAAAATAGAAAGAGAAAAGGTATTTGAATTTAATAGCTGTAGTCTCCACTTTGTATACTTAAATTCAGTTCATTTTCAAATGCTTTTACCACTTTTGATTATCATTATGTATAGAGCACTGATAAGCACCAGTGATATTTCCATTTTGCTTGAAAAGCCTAATTTGAGATCCAACATGTATCTACACAACTCTGCTGCACTTAGGACAAAATTTTGACTTTAAAGTTAGTGGTAATAATAGGTAACATTGTCAAAACTACCTATTTGTAATAACATGGTGTTTCTACAAGTCTTGATTATCATCTTGACTGGTAGATATTTCTTATAGAGACTTGATGTCCATGCTTTCTCTAGAGTTAGTTTTTTGAACATATCCTAAAGTATGGAAGATGGGAGAGTATAATCCATGTATGCTTAAGAAAATAGAATAATTGCAAATAGCAAAAATTAGAAGGAACATTATTCATACTTAGATTCTTTCCAGATTTTATTTCCTAACTTTAGAAAGACAATAAAGTTTTGTATCCTTTATTTGTTTAGCATTATTATATTTTCTTTCATGTTACTATGTAATGTATAATTAAACTGGAATTCTTAACAGTGCCATAATTATCAAATAGAAATAATCAAGTGCTTTATAATTTTTTTTGCTAATAAATAGTGCCACTGTCTTCAAATTTGCACATAAAGTTTTTCACTTTTTATTATTTCCTCGGGAATTTTAGATGTAGAATAATAGATTGATCTGTTTAAGTAAGAACATTTTAAACTTATAAACATTACTAAGAACAAACATGTGTATATTAAACTCTCAATAATAGTATATGAGAATGCTCATCGTCCTGAATCCCACAAGAATTGCTTTACATTGAAAATCTGTTCAATGCAGAAAAATCTGTTTTTATGCTGTTACTATGAGTCATCGTCATAGTCAACTCAACCACCAATGACTTTGTTTACTTATCTTAGATGTTCCTTAATAAATCGGAAAGAAACATAATGGCATTAACATATATTAAGTATATTTATTAGACAATCGTAGTAAAATATTTTATCAATTCAACTCATTACTCTTATATTGGAACCAACTCTGCTGACCCTCCAATGTATACAGGACAAGATTGCCCATTTTTCTCCCATTGAGCTGCTGGTAGATTTGAACTGCCTTTGTATTGGCTGCACAACTCCTCCCCCACTAGACCACCAGAGCTCCCTGTATTTTATTTATACTATGCTTTATTAGGTACTTTTTAGGATCAGTTTCAAGTTCTAATACTAAGACTAAGGGTTTCAGTAGTCCAAATCTTGTTGTTGTTGTTGTTGTTGTTGTTATGTGCCGTCGAGTCGCTTGTGACTCATAGTGACCCTATGTACAACAGCCCTAAACTCAGCTCTGTCCTATGCCAGTCACACTGTCTCTGACACTCTCATTCGATTACCCCAGTCACTGAATCAATCTTCCTCATAGAGGGCCTTCCCCTCATGCACTGTCCCTCCAGCCTCCCAAGCATGATGTCCTTCTCCAAGGACCGGTCTCTCCTTACAAGAGATGTCTGCCAACTGTATTTTGTTATTGTTGCTTTTACTTACTGCTTTCTCTGTATTTCCAGGCTATTGTGAGATTCAAATGAGTCTTGGAAACAATAAATTTATTATAAATATAAGGTTCAGTTTTATGCAGTATAATGGCTTGATGTGCCTGTAGGCAAGTTTTGGTTGTCTAGTGGATAGGAATTCACCAGCTATGTGATTCTCCTGTGCAATTACAATCTCTGAAAGCCTGCTGCAGGATAAGCTATGAGTCAACTCTTATCTCAGCACCAGTGAGTGAATTGATTTGAAAGAAGGAGAGACCAGCTATCAACCTTAATCCACTCCCATTGAGTTGATTCCAACTCATAGTGACTTACAGCAACCTTACAGGACAGAGTAGAACTTCCCCAATAGGGTTCTTAAAGGTGTAAATCTTTATAAAAACAGATTGCTTCAACTTTCTCCTGTATAGCATCATAATGCTTAACCCACTGTACCACCATAGCTTTTGCAGTTGCCGCAGGCAGATACCTGATACACATTTAAGACCTACTATGTGCCAAGAATTTTCATTCTTTATAGCCATTGTGTAAGATAAGTATTACTTTGATAAGTGCTTCTAAAACTTAGAATCACTTGCATCAGAATCACTGAGAAGGCTTGTTAAAACACATTACTGGACCTCAATCCCTCAGTTTTTAATTTAGTATATAAAAGGTTGGACCCAAAGACTAGGATTTAGAACAAGTTCTTTGGCAGTGTTGATATTGCTGGTCTGAAGACCACACTCATGAAGATTTTTACTCAATAAAGAGCATAAGAGTAAACAACTCTGCCATTACCTACCATGTAAAGAATTTCTTAAAAAGTTTTATAATTGTAAGGGAGCTCTGGTGGCCTAGTGGCAAGAAGTTGTACTGCAATCCCAGAGGCATAACGGTTCAAATCCACCAGATGCTCTGCTGGAGAAGGAGGGGCAATCTCCTCCTGTACCAGTCGGCTCTGATTTGACGGTACACACACACACACACAAAAAAAAAGAATAAAAAGAGTTTTATAATTGTAAGAATTTTTATTAACCTTTTCTTTTAGGAAAGGGAGAAATTACGTGAAGAAAAGCGAAAATATATGGAACACTTAAAGCAGTGGAATAAACCTAGAGAAGATATGGAATGTGATGATCTTAAGGTAGAAGTATTTTATGTGATGTTCAGCAAACATTAGTTCTGTACGCTCTACGGAACTTTGTTGATGAAATCTTACCTTCCTCTTTTCTTTTCTTCATAATGTTAGTGTTTTATAATTGGCTTTTTAGTGGTGATTTGATTTGTAGAAACAAATGGTAATTTGTATAATCCTTGATAACCCAATAACATACATTTAACTTGATTGCTAAATAAGGATTCTGCTTACTTCCAGCAATGACTAAAGAATCCAAACCAAACTCATCTGTTAGGTTTCAGCTTATATGATGTAATTTCTGAATCAGTAGTTGATGGATTAATTCTATTCCATATCTCAAGGAAATAATATTGAAGACAATATTTGCACAATGAATGCTTTGAATCTAGGTTAAGAATTCCTCTTAAATAGTTTACATAGTTGTTGATACATTTCAGCCTAAAGTTATGCTCAGTTTAAGAAAGGACTAAGCCCTAAGGGACAGTGATTTAGTAAAGTTATAATAAGGTCAGAACATCTAGAATTATAAAAGTTCTAAAGATAGTATTGATAAATATTTGGTGGTGAGAACCAGAATTCTAAATAGTTCTCAATAGTTAAAGAATATGTAACATCTACATTTCAAGATTTCCTGTACTTGGTGTAATTGTTACATGCTTTTGAGTCTGAACTGACTCATAGCTGACCCACCAGTGAATTTTCAGAAGCTGTAAACTGCATAGGAGGAGATTGTCCATCTTCATCTTTCTCTTATGGAATAGCTGGTAGATTCAAACCGCACACCTTTGGGCTGGCAACATAATTCTTTACCACTATGCCATTACTGTTCCTAGTTTAAACAATTATATAAATTTCTTTCTTTTTTAGGAACTTCCAGAACCAACTCCAGTGAAAACTAGACTACCTCCTGAAATCTTTGGTGATGCTTTGATGGTTTTAGAGTTCCTTCATGCGTTTGGCGAACTTTTTGATCTTCAGGATGAGTTTCCTGAGGGAGTAACCCTAGGTAAGCGTTCCATTTATCTATTATTGTGTGACTTAAAATAAATTAATTCAAAGTTTGTGGATTCACTAGCCTTAGCTTTTCACTTCTTTCTGGGAAGTCTCTCATGTGGTTTTATATAGTCAAAAAAGCAGCTGCAGCTTTACTGACTTGATGTACAAGATGGGCTCTTAACACATGTTAATACTACTGCATGTAGCCTCCCATGCCAGCAGGGTGGCTCACACTTCTCACACTAGGGCTTCAAGAAACAGAAACAAACACTGCCAACTTTCTTAAACAATAAGCCTGTTATAGGCTCCGCAGCATTTTCACCCTATCCTATTTGTGAGAGCAGTTCCGTCTAGCCCAGATTCAAGAGTGTTGGGGGATAGACTCCACTCCTTGATGGGGAATGGTGAGTACATACAGGAAAGGAATTTATCTCAGCTGTATTTGGGAAAAACCATCATGCTGGGAAAGGTGGAAGGTCAGAAAGAAAGGAAGACCCTCAACAAGATAGATTGACACAGTGACTGTAACAATGGGCTCCTGAGGATAGCACAAAATAGAGCAAAGTTGTTTATAGAGTCACTACAAGAACTTCAACATTTTTCTAGCTGGAAGAACTGATTGAAGCCTTGAGTTGCAATACTGAGAGATGCTATAGACAAAATATCCAGGAAACATCAAAAGAAGATGGAGTGAATATAGAGTCCCTGTGCCAAAAAGAATTGATCAATGCTGAAATATTTCAAGGAGTAGTATATGATAAAGGACCAGTGGTGATAAGGGAAGAAGTATAAGCTGCCTTGAAGACATGGGTTAAAAATAAGGTCGTAGATATCGGTGGGTTACCAATTAACATGTTTCAGGTAGTAGATAATAGCCCTGGTGAGGCTCACAAATCTGTGCCATGAAATTTGAAGGAAAGTTACCTAGTCAACTGACTAGAAGAGACCCATATTTGTTTTCATATCCAAGAAAGGAGATCCAACAGAATGTGAAGATCATTGAATAATATTGCATGCAAGCAAAATATATCATCCAAAAAGGACTAGACCAGTACATTGACAGAGAACTGCCAGAAATTCAGGCTGGATTTAGAAGAGTCTGTGTACCAGAGATGTCATTATTAATGTCAGATGGATCTTGGCTGAAAACCGAGAATACCAAAGGAATGTCTATTTGTACTTTATTGACAATGCAAAGGTTTTTGAATCACAAGCTATGACTAACAGAAAACTACAAATTGCAGAACACGTGGTTGCGTTCATGCAAAACCTATACTTAGAACAAGAAGCTGTTGTCTGAACAGAGCACAGGAACACTGCATGGTTTAAAATCAGGAAAGTTGTGTGTCCTTTCTCCATACCTATTCAATTTGTATGGTAAGCAAATCCTTCGAGAAGCTAGACAGTTTGAATAAGAAGATTACATCAGAATTGGAGGAAGACCCATCAATAACTTGCATTATATAGATAACACAACTTCGCTTTCTGAAAGTGAATAGGACGTGAGTACTTGCTGCAGAAGATCAAGTTCTGCAGTCTTCCATTTGGATTGTATCTCAACATCAAGAAGACAAAAACCTCCAATAAGCAACATCATAAATGAGAAAAGATTGAAGTTGTCAGCAATTTCATCTTACTTGGATCCACAGGCAACAACATCCTTAGTACCAGCAGTCAGGAGATCAGGGAACATTTTTTAGTTTTTTAAAACTTTATTTTATTGTGATTTTGACAAAAGTTTACACAAAGTTGGATTTTCATTCAGGAGGCATATTGCATTGGTCTGTTGTTAGGGACCTCTCTGAAGTCCTAAAGAGCAATGACATCAGTTTTAAGACCCAGGTGTGCTTCATTCAACAAGCCAAGTCTTTTCAGTCACCTACTACACATCCGAGAGCTAGACAGTGAATAAGATGACAGAAGCATTTATGGCTTTGTATTATGGTGATGGAGGAGAGTACTGAATATCCCAAAAGTGCAAACAGATATGTCTTGAAGAAAGTACAGCCAGAGTGCTCTATAAAGATGGTAAAGCTTCATCTCACATACTTTGGGCATTTTGTTGTTGTGTTATTGTTAATTGAGTATGACTCATAGCAACCTGTGAACAGTAGGCCTGAACCCTACCCTAAGGAGGGGCTATTCCTTGGAAAGGGACATCATGTTTGGAAAGGTGGAGGGTCAATGAAAGAGAAGACGATCCTCAATAAGACAGATTGGGACAGTGGACTCAAATGGCAGAGAGGATGAGGATGTCACAGGATATGACAAGGTTCAAGTTGTTCATAGAGTCACTGTGAGTCGTACATGATTTGATGGCACCTAATGACTGACTCTGAGAAGAATGGGAATCCCAGAACATTTAATCGTGCTAATGCGAAACCTATACTTGGACCAAGAGGCAGTTGTCAGAACAGAGCAGGGCAATACTGAATGTTTCAAAATTGGGAAGGGTGTGCGCCAGGGATGTGTCCTATCTACATACCTTTTCAGCCTGTATGCAGAGCATATTATCTGAGAGGCTGGGCTCTATGAGGAGACGTGTGGCGTTAGGATTGGTGGAAGATCTATCAACAATCTGCGTTATGCAGATGACACAACCTTGCTCACTGAAACTGAGGAGGACCTCATGCACTTACTGCAGAGGGTCAAGGACTGCAGCCTTCAGTATGGACTGAGGCTCAATGTCAAGAAGACAAAGATTCTCACCACTGGACCAATTGGTAGCATCAGGATGGATGGCGAAGAGATTGAGATTGTTCACAGCTTCAGTTTGCTCAGCTCCACAGTCAACACTCTTGGCACCAGCAGCCAGGAAATAAAAAAACGTATTGCGATGGGCAAGTCTGCTTGCTGTTAATGACCTCTCTAAAGTACTCAAGAGCAACGGTGTCTCTTTGGAGACGAAGGTGCGCCTGATACAGGCCATGGTCTTTGCAGTCACTTGTTATGCATCAGTGAGCTGGACAATGACTAGGGAGGACAGAAGGAGAATTGACGCCTTTGAGCTGTGGTGCTGGAGAAGAGTATTGAATGTACCATGGACTGCCAAGAAAACAAACAGATTCGTCCTAGAGAGGGTTAAACCAGGCTGCTCCTTGGAGGCAAGGATTCTGGGGCTTCGCCTGACATACTTTGGACATGTTGTAAGGAGAGACAGGTCTTTAGAGAGGGACATCATGCTGGGTAGAGCGGAGGTACAGCGCAGGAGGGGAAGACCCTCTATGCGGTGGATTGATTCAGTGATTGGGGTAATCGGGATGGGTGTGTCAGAGGCAATGTGGTTGGCACAGGATAGAGCATTGTTTAGGGCTGTTGTACCTAGGGTGGCTATGAGTCGCAAATGACTCGACGGCACATAACAACAACAACAAGTTGTAGTCAGCTCCATGATGCCTGATAACAGCAACAAATTTGGAGATGTTATTACCTTGCCGATCTCGTTTGTAGTTTTGCCTATGTAGTTACATAATTTACTTTATATAAACATTACCTGTCATAAGAGCAGAGATTTGGATAACATTTTGGATTTTTAGCTGTTAGATTCCTTAAGGACAATTATGTCATTCCTATGCTTATAAATATATTCTTCAGGAGGGCTTCAGATTTTCTCCAGTTTCTATTTAAGTGTTAGGTGACACATAAATCATTGTGCCTTACAAATCAAGAACAATGTTAGTTTAGGTAAGGTACATAGAACCATAGGTAAACTGAATTAGGTGCTATCCTTGTTTTGATGATTACTTCCCAAAACATTATTTGGTAAAGGTAATGCCCTATGTATCTCTCAACAATAGTCAAGCAGTGTTTTTTGTCATCTTTTTATTATTCCAAATAAAGTTAACATTTTTCATATGTGCTTTGATTTGGACATTAACCCTAAATTTAGATGAGATATATTGATTTCTTGGGTTTTCTTGAATATTATGGCTTTGGTATGTGATTTTATTATAACTATTATAATTGGTTTTTTTAAATTTTTGCCTTGGATAGAATTTTGTTATATTTTTATAAATGAGCTTTTAAAAAGTTAGTTACATAGGCTGTTGTTAATTTAAATGTTTATTAATCCAGTGGAGTTTTTTTTTTAGAATATGAACAAAACTTTAAATTCATTTTAAACATTTTATTCACAGAAGTGTTAGAGGAAGCTCTTGTAGGAAATGACAGTGAAGGCCCACTATGTGAATTGCTTTTTTTCTTCCTGACTGCCATCTTCCAGGCGATAGCTGAAGAAGAGGAGGAAGTAGCCAAAGAGCAAATAACTGATGCTGACACCAAAGGTCAGAATTCAAATTCTTGTTGATTGAACTGATAGTAGCTATGTATAAAAAGATTGCTTTTACAGTTGAAAAATATAGTTATTCAGGTTACCTGATTTCGAGGCATTTACTTACTTTGTTATGTTTTATAAGCATAGTATTTTATTTCAGTAGAGTCTTTTTTGCTGACATGAAAGAGTTTTTCTCTGCAATCAGTTGTGCTTTTTATTCCTTGAGATTTCTCAAATAATTTAGAAAGATTCTTCATTTCATTGATTCATAATTGTAAGAGATGCTACTAAAGAACTGATTTTCTTTTCCCCTCACTCAATAAATTATTTAAGGATCATGGTAGCATGGTGGGTTAAATGTTAGACTACTAACCAAAATGTCATTGGTTTGAACCCACTCCCTTCTCTCCTACCCCTGTCTACAGGAGAAAGATGACATATTCTACTTCTGTAAAGTTCTATAGCCTTAGAAATCCTGACTCTGTCCTGTAAATTTGCTATGAGTCAATAGAATGTGTTCCCTATTTTGCTTAGAATTCACCTCATCAAAGAAAGATTTCAACATGTATGTCTATGTAAAGAAGTTATCTTGCTTCCTGAATAGTCTCTATCATCATCATTATGGTGAAATCCCTGGGTGTTATAAACAGTTCTACTGTGACAGACATGAGGTTGCCAGCAGAAATCACCAGCAGTGGTTTGTTGGTGTTACTGTTAATGACTTTGTCTCATATGAAAGTTAAAGGGAAAAAAAATTCATAACAATTAGAAATTTGATTCATAAATATTTGTCTGTTACATAAAAATTCACCCAAAGACATAATTTATATTTATTTGCATAAGCGTGACACATCTTGATAACAGAATATTGGTTCAAAAATGGAACATTCATATTTAAATACTTGTGTTGGCCATTCTGCCTGGTCACTGAAACAACAAGGGTATTGATAAGTATACATACAATGTTGGTTGCCTTTTGATGGTGCTGTGTGAATTATACATGAAAATTCTAGTGATAACATTAATCACCTTAGGTTCTAGGATTATCAAGGCCATTTTAGCAAGATGGCCCCTTTTGACATCTCAATTATCTCAGTCATCAAGACTGTACATTATTGGTGTATGGATGTGGGAAGCAAAAAATAATAACAGTGAAGGAAAGTGATTAATGATTTAAAAGTTATTATTATTGTTGTTCTCTGCCATCAAGTCAGAACTGACCCATAGCTAATCTTGCAGTATGTTTTCAGAGGCAGTTAATCACACAGGAGACAACTGGCCATCCTTCTCCCAAGGAGCAGCTGGTAGATTTGCTTTTAAGACATTTAAAGATTTTCTAAAGTGATGAGTACCAGGAATAAACATAAATTTTCTAAGATAATAAAACAAATATTCCTTCTTTCAGCTGTTAAGTTATATTATTTACCAAGAATACAGGATCGTTAATCAAGTTCTGACTTTAATACAAAATATATTAAAACCCACTGCTTTTGAGTCATTGTCAACTTATGGTGACACTCCATCAGGTTTCTGAAGCTATAAATCTTTATAAGAGAAAGATTTCATGGTTGTGCAGAGTGGTACGATTGGTTTAAACATAATTTTTATAGCTCTGCTTCTATACAGAACTTTCTCTTAATATAAAATGCATTCTCTGAATGTGTCTTAGCCACTAAATAAATATTTAATGCTGTTTTAAAATAGTTATTTTAGAAGAAAATAAACAAACATTAGAGGTTTTTTACTTTTATCTCACTTTCCTATTTATGGCTACAGTTTACATGATTACTTTAGATTCAGTAAGGGCTCTAGATTATTTCCCCAGGAATATTTCCTCACATATTTTCCCATCTCAGTAACAAAAAGGCTTCCCAAAATCTTCCTGAAAATAGTCATTTGTAAACTGAATATTCTTCAATTTTCTCTGTTTGTGGTCTTATCAGTAAAGTTTTACCTGCTGTTTCTAGCAGGAAATAAAGTATCCAGAATGAATTTATCTTAGTAATAACAGAACAGATTCAGTGAAGTTCTTTACTGAAGCTAGTATATAGTAAATTATGCTAAAAATGCATTGTTTCTAATAACTCCTTTCACCCCTGTGAAGTAGGTATAATTATTTATTCATTTTTGCATTTAAAGAGATGGAAATGTAAAGATTTGAATTAACTTTCCCTAAAACGTATATCTAATGGAAAAGTAATGACACAAACCATGTCTTTTGAGAATGTATCATAGGATCTCATAATAGCAAAGAATTGGAAATTTTTAGTATTTGTTTCCCTTACATTGTCTATAGCATTAGCTTTCTTCAAGGAGTTCTAATTTCTTTGACCTGTGATTGCTTTTTTAGCATATCTTGTCCAGTAAATTTTTCATTTATGGTATCAGTTCTAGGAGCCTGGGTGGCACTGTGTATAAAGCATCCAGCTACTAACCAAAAAGTCAACAGTTTAAAATCACCCACAGCTCTGCAAAGAGAAAGATGGAGCAGTCTGTTTCTGTAAAGATCTTTGCTTTTACATACTTGGTCAGATCTACTTTATCTTACATGATTGCTATGAGTCAGAATTAACTAGATAGTGACTCCATCAGTTCCTCCTTAGTCCTACATCAAGAACTTAAAAGTTTTTAAAAATAATGAAAACAAGGGTGTCTTCCTTATATAGAATAGTTTTGTGTTTTTACAGGAATAACATTTAGAATTGTATGTACCTAATTTTAGATTGTGGTGAATATGAATGTATCTGTTTCAGATTGTAATAGCATCCTACATACAAGTCAGCTCAATTTCTTGGTGTGATGTACCCATGTGACTACAGTCCTCTAAGAGAATTCAGGAATGGTATTTGGTTTCTTGAAAGTGCCATTTAATGGATGGCTAAGTTATAGAAGATATATCTAACACAGTTAAAAGTAAACTGTAATGTTATTGGTGGCTCATTTTCTAAGACCTTTCAAGGGCTTTTTCCTAGGAAATTGAACTTACTATAAATAATTAATATTGAATATGGTGATTATTGCAAAGGAAGAATGCCAGCACCACTCTCTAGTAGGTTTTCCAAGGCTCTCTAATAACAGGGAAGAGATTATTCACCTTTCTTCTGTGGAGCATCTATTAGATTTGAACTGCCAGGGAGATAATTAATGCCTTTGGGCTAGCTGTACAAATCTCAACAGGCCATGTCTCCAGAGCTTGTTGAGCTAGATTTGAGTCCTGGGAGAAATTTCACCAGATATGCGAAAGGTTGTCAGATAACCTTACCTTTTATACTCGTTACACTCCTTTTTTAATGCTTCTTTTGCTTTAAATATCATTGTTAGTGTCAGTGATTGTTATCACTGTTATACCATAGTTTATTCCTTTTATAAAGAATAGCATTTCTGTCTTCTATGGTTGGTTTTTTAGGATGACAGTAAAAGATTAAGGAACCTGGGAGTGTTGGTGGCCTAGTGGCAAGAAGCTGCCCTGCAATCCCAAAGGCATGCAGTTTGAATCCACCAGATGCTCTGCTGGAGAAGGAGGAGCAATCTCCTCCTGTGCTAGTAACACAACAAATTATAAAAAAAAAAAGAAGGTTAAGGAAGCCCAGATGGCTTCAAACCCTCAAGCTTCTTTTGGAGGACTGGAAAAGATGAGTAGGCAGATGATACACATCTTAGTTCCCCACTTACAAAAGCTATCTTAGGACTTTATATTGAGCTTCTTGATTTGAAGAATTAGAAAATTATCTACTCTCATACTTTTTAGAAGATTGAAATGCTAGCTAAGTTCCTTGTCTAAAGGCTACGGCACTGGCAAAGCTAAGACAAGACTATATACTATCTGCTTTTTAGTCTGAGGTTGTCCACTGTACTGTGATACAATAGCTTTTTCATAAGCCATTTGAATGTTCCTGAAACTTTTCATATAAGTTTTAGAATGAATATCTTTTTAATAATCTTATAATTAGGAATAACTATGTTTTAATACTTTAAATGATTGTGTTGGTCACATTACTCTTTGATCTTATTTGTAAAATAAGCAGTATTCTCAAAGGTAAATATATTTTGGAACACATAATTGTTGGATTGGAGAATTTTCAAAATAAAAACAGTAAATTTTAGTGAAGAAGAAAATTTAGGAATTAAGTGACTTGTGCTGACTCTGCTATCTACACAGTTCTTTTAGCTCTTTTGTACTGATCTTATGATTTTTACAACTTACACTTTATGAGAGAGCTCTTGTGGTCTACTGGGTAAGAAGTGTGCTGCCAGCCAAAAGCAAGCAGTTCAAATCCACCAGGTGTTCCCCATGAAAAAGATGGGTGATCTCCTCTCATGCAGTGTACAGCCTCTGAAAACCCAGTCGAGGACCAGCTATGAATTGGTTCTTACTCCATAGCAATGAGAGAGTAACTTCAATTAGGATTCATTCTTAAAATAATGACAAAAGTTTTAGTATCTTTGAAAAAATTCTGATTTTCAAAGTGAACTTCTCTAAGATTCTGTTGTGTGTGGGAGGTTTGCTTTTCATTCTCAAGTGAATTTTGCTATTTTGCCATGCATGTTTATCTTGTTGATAACTTGAAAATTGTCTTTTATCTTAAGTAAGGGAAATGTTAGTCTTTAGTGCATGTTTTAGAATTTATACTTTTAGGAAGAATGTGAATAATGCTTGTTGTACTTAGTGTTCTTTTGAGGTTCCTGAATGTTTGCTATTTCTTTTTCATCATTTAAAAAGATATAACTCCCAAATATTGACTCTTTGATTAGTACTAGAATAAAGTATTTATTTCCTTAAAGATTTGACAGAGGCTTTGGATGAAGATGCAGACCCTACAAAATCTGCACTGTCTGCAGTTGCATCTTTGGCAGCTGCGTGGCCACAGTTACACCAGGGTATGTGTGGGGTTTATTTTTTGTTCTAGTTTTTATTTTTAAATTTTTAAAGGTACTTTTGTATTGTTCAATATTTATTGTTTATATTCTGAATGACTTTCCTTTTTAACAACTATAGGCTGCAGTTTGAAAAGCTTGGATCTTGATAGCTGCACTCTGTCTGAAATCCTCAGACTTCACATCTTAGCTTCAGGTGCTGATGTGACATCAGCAAATGCAAAGTATAGATATCAAAAACGAGGGGGATTTGATGCTACAGATGACGCTTGTATGGAGCTTCGCCTGAGCAATCCTGGTGTAGTGAAGAAACTGTCAAGCACTTCAGTGTATGATTTAACACCAGGTAAACTTTTCAAGTTGGAATTATTAATGTTACTATTATCTTTTACATTTTGATATTCTAAGATTAAGATTTGTTACTACTCTAAATTTACTAAGTCTGTTGGCCTAATGGATAAGGAATTGCATTGCCAACCCAAAGGCAGTCAGAGGGTTCAGATCCACCCACTGCTCTGCAGGAAAAAGGTGGGCAATCTTTTCTTACCAACTTATAGCCTCTGAAAACCTGTGGTAGGATCGACCATGAATCAGTTCCAAAGTCAAGATGAAGAAATTTGTCACTTCTTTAGTGAATATGCTTTTAAGACAAAATACAACATTAGTAGAATTACCTTAATTCTTAACATTTGTATATTGTTCTTGGCTATCTTTGAATTTATTCTAATTCATGATGATTCCATGTATACAAAATATACATAAGCTCCTCCAGAAGGTTTTCAGGCTGAATTTTCAGAAGTGATTTGCCAGGTCTCTCGCACAAAATATCTTGAGTGTTTAAACTACCAGCCTTTTTGCTGGTGTTTGAGCACTTAATCATTTGCACCATCCAGAGACGTCTGGCATGTTTATATACAACAGCAAAATTATTACCGTTGCATCAGGACCAATCATAGGTGACTATACAATGGATTTTCAGAGACTGTGTATCACTTGAGAGGAGATTACCTATCATTTTCCTCAGAATAGCTGGTGGATTCAAACCACCAGGGTTTGGATTGGCAGCAGGACGCTCTACCCCACATAAGCTTTATAATTTATGTTAGCATTATTCTGCAGTCTTTTTAGAGCATCAGTTTGTGACAGTTTCTTTACATGATTGTTACTTAACTTTGATTTTAACTTCATACATGACGCTAAAATTAAAAGTTGAAAAAAATTCTTTGTAATTAGAATACTCTTTTTATCTGTTTATAAATATAAAATATATAAAGCAGTTACTTGGATTTTAAATGCCTTATATATTACAGAGCTTATATAGGACTGAGTTGCTCTTTTCTAAAATTTTTCCATTTACATACTTGGCCTTGAGAAACTATCCATATACATTTTCACATTAAACCACTGAAAAGTCATTTATTAATTTTTTGACAGGAGAAAAAATGAAGATTCTTCATGCTCTCTGTGGAAAACTACTAACTCTAGTTTCTACAAGGGATTTTATTGAAGATTATGTTGATATATTACGGCAGGCAAAGCAAGAGTTTCGGGAATTAAAAGCAGAGCAACATCGAAAAGAGAGGGAAGAAGCAGCTGCCAGGTAAGCAAGAATTACAATCAGTCCTGCTAATGAAAGCTGCATCTAAAAACCAAAGTGTGTTATATAATACAATTACACATTTATTAAAATGTGACATTGGCTTGCACTGGCATTTATTTGATAGGTTAGCTAAGAAGTTATAAATTTATGTGTATTCCGTATTCATTGTACCACTGTATAATAGCCAATAGGATAGAAACAGCATTAATGGATAATGAAGTGAGTAGAAGGTATATATATATATATCTCATAATTTATTGAAACTGTTAGGTTCTAAAACCCTTTATATGAAAACTGGTATTATGTGAAAAATTACTACATCTCTTCCTTACCTATACTGTGAATGTCCCACCAGGCCCCTAACAAGGTTACCTGCCACACTACCACCTTCCTTTTCCCTAATTATAGCCTCAGGAGACCTCAGCTCCCACCACCTCCCACAGGAGAGGGCCTTCTGTATTTTCAGGGTCATTGGCCCTACTTTATCTTTTAATCAGCCACAAAACACTCTTTGGGACTTTTTCAAGGGCCTAGAGTTCCCTGTCTACAGGCAGAAGAGCTTGGGTATCACCCAGGGATATACTTTCCCTTTCCATCTCCTCACTCAGACAGCTCATGGCTGTCAGTGGGAAGCCTTGCTCCACTCTACCCTAGTGTCTCTATGATGACCAGGCACTCCCTCTGCCTTTGACTGTAAACTGTGCTTGCCACTGACCACTTATACACTAACCCCATGTCTGCCCTGATATTTTGTCCTGCCCCTACTTGTGCCTGACAAGGTAGGTGCATCAGGAAAACATGGGGCTGTGGGTGTGTTGGTCAGCACACATGGTGTCCCGTGGGCTAGACTCTATAGAGTCCTGCTTCCTTCCTAGTCCCCAAGGGATTGTTCTCCCTTTAGGACACTAGCTGCCCCAACCTACTTCCCGCCATCCCCACTCCTCCCACCCCTAATCAGTCACTCCTGCCTACCACCCTGGCAACTTGGAAAGACTATGTCCCCTCTCAGGAAGTGAAATACTATGTGGAATACCTGCCTTCCACCATGCACTTGAGTCTACCAGTAAGGTGCCTGTCAGAGATCTCTTGAGATTATTACTGCCAGAGTCCATGTAATTAATGTACAAAGTAGTCAAATAATAGGTCATCCAAAATATCAAAAATGGTGTAAAGCAGTGAGGAATAAGTGTATACCTATGTAATGAAGTATTAGCCATAAAGAACTAAAGTGTTGATATATGGTGCAACATAATGAGCCTTAAAGACATTATAGATTATACATCACAAAGACTCTCCTTGGATGAAATATCCAAAATAGGCAACTAGAGATCAAGGAGGAATAAAGGAGGAGGGAAAAGGGAGTAATTTGGGGGTACCAACCTTCTGTTAAGAATAATAGGAAATGTTGGAAACAGATAATGGTAATCTCTACAAAACAATGAATATCATTAGTGTCACTGAGTTGTACATGTAAAAAATTTCATACTGACACATTATATATGTCTTTGGGGGACATACAAGCTGGGAGAAAATGTTAGCAATCATTATGGTACTGTAGTTTCATAATAATGTTTGGAGCACTTTCCATAATGTCACAGTTAAAGTATCTTTTTCATCAAGTTATCAAGAATATCTTATTCTTAACTTTAAGAATTCGTAAAAGGAAGGAAGAAAAACTAAAAGAACAAGAACAAAAAATGAAAGAGAAACTGGAAAAATTAAAGGAAGACGAGCAAAGAAATTCAACTGCAGATGTATCTATTGGGTATGATTTTAATTATTCGGCTTATATGGCTATATTTATCCATGTTAGCACACAAAAAGAATACAATTCAGGCATCTTAAACTCAGGACACTTTCAATTTACAGAATACTAGTTTTCTATTAGTGTATGTGTTTTCTTCAAGTATGGGCATATTAAAGAAGTTTTTGTTTAAATTCACTTTTAATGAATGTTGTCATGTTATTTTGTACCATAAAGTCAGAACCAACCCATAGCTGACCCTCTATCAGGTTTTCCGAGGCACTTAATCTCATGGGAGGAGACTGACCACCCATCCTTCTCCCGCGGAGCAGCTGATCGCCTTGAACTGCATGCCTTCAGGATTATAGCACAGCTTCTTGCCACTAGGCCACCAGAGCTCCCTTTAATGCATATAAAATTAATTTTATTATTGTATTAACTGTTATAATTTTCCAACAAATTTTTGTACCTGAGTATTCACAGCCACATCATTCATATTAAACAAAAGTAGAAACAACCCAAGCGTCAACAGATGAACGAACGTATAAACAAAATGTCATAACCAAATATTATTCTGAAATAAAATGGAATTATGTTCTGAAAACATACAACATGGATAAACCTTGCAATTATAATTTAAGTGAAAGAAAACAACCAACACAAAATGTAATTTTTTTAATTACCTAAGTCCAGGGAATAAATTGTTTAGGTAGTGACTGCTAATGAGCATAGGACGTTTTGGGTTGGTGGAAATTATTTCAGTGTCACTCTTTTTTAAAAAAAATGCATTGGTTTGCTTACAAAGGTTGTATACATTGTTTTTCACACAATTCTTCATTCACTTTATGTTTCTTACAATCATTCCCATCCATCATGTTTTATAAAATTAATTACCATTGATTGAACTGTGCCCACCATTACCCTGTCTTTTCAGGTCCCTGCCAGATCATTCCCATTTTTACCCTCACCCTCTTAAATGTCTCTTCCTGAAGCAAGATTTTCTTTGTTGAGAGATCTGATTCTTTTTAAATATCCTGTGAACATCATTTCATTATTCTGTACATATTTTTATTACCATTTGTGTGATTATCTGTTTACTCTGCCAGACAGTAAACCCTGTGTCAATAGTGATTGTGTGCATATTTCCTTAGTAATGTCTATTATTTTGTAGTCCAGTGATAAATATTTGATGAGCAAATTATATGTTTGTTTTTGAGTGTAAGCTTTTTATCCTTAAGGGAAGAAGAAAGGGAAGATTTTGATACTAGTGCTGAGAGCAAAGAAACGGAACAAAAGGAATTAGATCAAGATACAGCAACTGAAGATGAAGATGACCCAGGATCACATAAAAAAGGCAGAAGGGGTAACATTGAAATTTCTTAAGTTTGTATTTAGTCGATAAAATATTTTATTAGCTTAACTATCTCATTTACTCCAGGATTGATTTTTATCTGTTTTGAAGATTTTTTTTTAACACGTTGCTGCAAATTACAGCAAAATGTGTTTCTAAGCACGGTCGTCAATTTAAAAGTGTGCAGCAACGTGTTAATGATCAGTTCATAACAGTGATAAGTTTTTAAAATGATAAACATTTTGTTTTAACGTGTTGTTTTTATTATGTGCTGTCAAGTTGGCTATGACTCATAGTTGACCCTGAAGCAGGTTTTCACATGAAGAGAGATTGCCCATCTTTCTTCCTCATGGCAGCTGGTAGATTCAGAGCTCCTCCCCATGTTTTCACAGGCTAACTCCTTACCTACTTGGCCACCAGAGCACCCTAACGTAGTGTTAGGAAAGCTCTAACGTAACAGAAGTCTTGCAATAAAGATCTTACCATAAAGATCTCATCATATATGATTATTTGTGTCTTTATGATGAGATCTTTATTGCAAGAGTTCTGTTACTTTAGAGCTTTGGTTAATAAACTGTATAGCTTCTGGGCTAAATCTGGCCAACCACTTATTTCCATGTTGTTATTGTTGTTAGGTACAACTGATAGTGACCCTTTAATACATCCAAACCATGTGTTATCTAGTACTGTCTCTGTCCTCATTCTCTCTGAGACAACTGAGTCATTTTTCCATATAGCTTATTAACTAAAAATTCTTTTCATATTTTTAAATAGCTGGGGGAATGATCAAAAGAAGGATTTTTTGACATGTGAAAATCATATGAAATTCATATTTCACTGTCTATGAATAAAGTCTTGTTGAAGACAGCTGTGCTGTCTTCATTTACACATTCATGGTGCTTTCTCACTGCAGTGGCAAAATGGAGTACTTGTGGCACTTCATATGGCCCACAAGCCTGAGCTAGTTCCTACCTGGCTCTTTACAGATGCTGACTGACCCTGCCTAGGGCAAAGACTGGGTATTGCAGAATAACTTAAATTCTGCAGTGCTCCAAAGAATAGAAATCCCACTTTGTGTGAACCTTTAACTATATTCTTTCTAACATAGTAACATAGAATAGCATATCTTTTTCTTCTAATAAAAATTAAAGATATGATAATAGATGTTATTTCAGTTTTAGGGAAAAGAGGACGGAATGGATTTAAAGAATTTACAAGGCAAGAAGAAATCAACTGTGCAATGAGAGAGCCTTTTACTGCTGATGAAGAAGCTTCAAAACAAGAGCACCAACGAAAAGAGAAAGAACTCTTAGAAAAAATTCAAAGTGCCATAGCCTGTACCAATATCTCTCCCTTAGGCCGTGATCGCATGTATAGGCGATACTGGGTTTTCCCTTCTATTCCTGGATTGTTTGTTGAAGAGGATTATTCTGGCCTCACTGAAGATATGTTATTGCCTAGACCTTCATCATTTCAGAATAATGTTCAGTATCAAGATCCTCAGGTATCCACTAAAACTGGAGAGTTTGAATCTACCTCCAAAATTGACCAAGGTCCATGTGATGATTCTGTGCAGCTACCAAAACCAGTACATAAGCCAAATCGATGGTGCTTTTACAGTTCTTGTGAACAGCTGGACCAGCTTATTGAGGCTCTTAATTCTAGAGGACATAGAGAAAGTGCCTTAAAAGAAATTCTCTTGCAAGAGAAAAGCAGAATTTGTGCACAGCTAGCTTGTTTTCCAGAAGAGAAATTTCATTTTTCAGGTAAGATTTTACACATATTGTTTTTTCCCTCCTGTATAGTCTGTGATCCAGAGTCCCTGGGTAGTACAGGAAGTTAAGCCCTCAACTCTTAACCAAGAGGTTGATAGTTCAAAGCTACCCAGACTCATTTCACAACTACAGCCAAGCGGCATGCTTTCTTTCCAAAGGTCACAGGCCAGAAAACCTTGTAAAAGCAGGCATAGTGTCTCCCTGAGTCTAAATTGATTCATTAACAACTAACAAGTTTTTGGTCACTGAAGATTTACCACTTTTATTAGAGCTATACTGAAAACTGCTTCTCTTTCATTTGGCTCATGCTCACAAAATTTTTGAGTTTGAAAATATATTTGTTCTATAGAAGCAAGATTGTTTAGATTCTAGACATTAAGTTCCATTTGGATTATGGAGAATCTGTCTGACAACATGAGAAAATACATATCCTTCCTAATCTCCTGATTCTTAGATCAGTAGACTGAATGCCCAAGGCTCTGGGACTACCATCTGTTTGGACAGTTTGCTAGTGAGTAAAGTTATTCATTAAGGATTTTGACTGAGCATTCAGACAAGTTCTAGTAAAGGTCACTTCTTTGGAAATAGGCTGCAAGGGCAGATCAAGTAGCAACATTTCCAATTTGATGACTAATCCATTGTGAAAGCTGTCAGGCATTTTTAGATACAAAATTTTATATCACTAGGTAGCTTTCTTTGGAGAACTGTTTTAATTTAAACTTGACTACTTTAGTTCTCTTAAGGATCAAAAACTATAGATCACAGTCCTTGAATGTAATTTCTTATTTCCCATTTGCCATGTTCATTTTCCTTCTTTTTTCTACATTTGAATGTTTATGATCTATCATTGTAAAATGTTTTCTCTTATATAAACTATGGGAAATTGATGAGTTGAAACTCCTATATTATGTTGCTGGACTTCAGAGTTAATAACAACCTACCTCTCGTCTCAGTGATAGTGCTAAAGTATTATATCTGTTTCACTATTGGAGCAATCATGCTGTTTAATTTTATGTTTTAATAAGAAAATCATAATAAAGGGATTTGGTTATAATTTCAGATAAATCTCAAACTGATAGTAAACCTGTGTATAGTCGGGGAAGATCATCCAGTACATGTGCTACAACTCAGGTATCTGCAGAAAGGCAACTTGAATTGAGGCTTAGAGATTTCCTTTTGGACATTGAAGACAGAATCTACCAAGGAACATTAGGTGCAATCAAGGTTTGTACCTATTCCATTTTTAGTTTGCTTAATTTGGTTGGTCCAAAATTTGAGTTTGTTTTTTCTTCATGGGCAAGGGATGTGTATTTTAACTAAATATCAGGGAATGTTTTTTTCTAATGAAAACTAAGATTATTTCTCTGACTACATAATTGACCATTATTATCCTTTTTCATATTAATCTGTAAGTAATTCATACTTGATATGTGTGTTCTGTTCTTTGCTATCTCACTTTTTGTTATTAGCAGCTAACCAATCTTAGGATTGCTGATAATTTCTTTACATATTTTGAGTAAAGTTTTAAGATTTTTATCTCTGAGAGGTGTGAATTTCATATTAGCTAGCCACTTTAGTAACCTTATTTTTAGGCCTGTTTTTAATTCTCAGTCTGTTCTAGAATATACATGATTTTTCATATGCACAGGGAATCTTTCCGTCTTAGGCACAACATAACTAATTTTCTGTGGTTGATAAATTTGGTTTTCTTATAGGTTACAGATCGATCCATCTGGAGATCAGCCTTAGAAAGTGGGCGATATGAATTGTTAAGTGAGGAAAACAAAGAAAATGGGATCATTAAAACTGTGAATGAAAATGTAGAAGAGTTGGAAATTGATGAGCAAGCAAAGGTCTTTGTTAAAGACAGGTACAAAGGAATTCTTTTTCCTGAAGTCATACTTTTTAGTCTCTTATTTTTTGTGGGGGTTTTGCCACTTCAAATGTTCATGTTTCCCTCTTATTCCACTTTGTACTAATAAAGCCAGAAACCTAGTTCAATAGGATAATAATAATTTGAGGGGTTTTTTTTTTATATTTTTAGTGTTTGAATTTAAGTGTTTATTCATTTCAGAAAGTTACTTTGTATTACACATTTTACTCAGTAGGAAAACTTATTATATTGTGGTAGATATAAATATTATTTAAACATAATCAGATTCTTTATCTGTAGATACTTTTCTTTTGAACGGGCTATTTTGTATAACATATGCTCTTGAGTTTTCAGTCTAGAAAGGAATGGTGGATAGGCACTCAAAGGGTAAGGACTCTGATAGAAATTAATACAGAATACCTTGGCAGAATTTAATACAGGGTTCCCTGGCAAATAGTGATGAAAGTTGCTAGAAGAAATTACTGTGAAGCTGAGACTGAAAGGTAGAGAAGATAGTAAGTCTGGCTGGAAGGGAAGATCATATGCCATGTATGAATGTTTTGAGCGATATTTTTATGTTAAACGATCCTTTTAGCTGCACTATGGAGATTTACTGTGAAGAAATAAGACTAGAGAATCATGTACTAGTTAGAAGGTATAATATCCTACCCAGCAAAAGTTGAAGCACGAGAAAATCTAAATAAACTGAGACTCCTGTTTGGACCTACTATAGTATATCCTGTCATAAACCTTTTCCAGAACTATGCTTATCTGCTTTTCTTCTTCCAGATATTTTCCTTTCTGTTCTCCTGTATGACTGTTAATATGTCTCATTACCTCTTGATTAAAATATTTCTTTTTTTTCTTACTATAAGCTCCTTGAGATTGGGGAAATTTATATACCAAATGTATTTGAATGAGTGAGTGTGCTCAATCTTCACTTAATAGTCAAGTATCTTAAACTTTATTATTTTAATTGTAGGCTTTTGGGGATAAAAACAGAAACTCCAAGTACTGTCTCAACTAATGCAAGTACACCACAGTCAGTCAGCAATGTGGTTCATTATCTGGCAACAGCACTGTTTCAGATAGAACAGGGCATTGAGAGACGTTTTCTTAAAGCACCACTTGGTAAGTATCTTTGCTTATTTCAAAATAGTGCTATCATGTTATAAATAGTTTTGAGATTGATTTTTTTTCATTAACACAAATAGAAGCATAATGAAACTAAATGTCTTCACATAGAGTTTATGAAACAAAGTTGAAATAACATGAAATTGTATTTTCATTTAAAATTTTTTTTTCAGATGAGATTTTATTTATAATAATCTATATAAAGTACTGTTTTCAAAAAGTCATTCTAAAAAAGTAATTCTAGAATTATTTTCTTTAGGTATGTGTTATATTCAAGTCTTGAATTCTAATTGTTTTTTATTACATTGTTCCTAATTTTTGCCTGAATATGCCCATAGTTAATCCACTGAATGCTTACTGCATATGTTTGGAAGCCCCTAGTGTTTTTAAACAGCTCAGGAACTGACTCATAACTAACCCTCCAACAAAGTTTTCAGAGGATATAAATTGCACAGGAGACCATTGCCTGTCTTCCGGGGGACAGCTAGAGGAGCTTCCTGCCTTTGAGTTGTCAGCGCACCTTCTTACCCACTAGGCCATCATACTTCCCTAGTTTTTAATAAGAGATGCTAATTTTGTTAACGAGATAATTTGGGGTGGGTAGGGGTGGGGCGTTGTTTCCTCAAAAGAATGATTACCAAAACTGTGATTATATGTAAATAGTTTTGTTTTGGTGGTTTTTGTTAAAAAAAAATAGAAGTGACTTAAGTGCTCACACATAGGAGTATAGTTGAATAGCACAGGCCCCACCTTGAGCACTATACATTGTTGGTGTTGAGTCAGTTTCACTTCATGACAGTTGCATATGTACAGAGTTCAGCTGTATTCTATTGGGTTTTTTAAGGCTGTAATCCTTAAACCTATCCCCAGGCCTTATCCCAAGGCACTCTGATAGGTTCAAACTGCCAACTTTTCAGCCTTACTGAATACTTAACCATTTTTGCCACCAGTGACCCAGATAACTATGTATTGTTATGGTTACTGTTTGGTTATTGTTATGGTTATTGTGTGGCTGAGTTTATTCCAGCTTTAAAGGATAGAGTCTCATGGGGTTTCTTAGGAAGAAATCTTTATTGGAACAGATCCTCATGTCCTTTCTCCTGCAGAATGACTAGTGGATTACACAGCTGAGCTCTCCTAAACATTGTACTATCAGGGCTCTTTGAAATTATTGTTAGGATTGTGGAAATAATACTATAATCATTCTATATAATGTCTCACAACTTTTTAAGTAGGTTATTAATAACTAACATAAGAACGGAATATTCATATCTTTGGAAAATAGGTGTTTAAGCCAAAATCAATTTTAATATTACAACAACCTTTACTTTCCTATTAGGGTTTTTTCTTATTTGTTTTACTGCAATATAATCTTGATAGTGGTATACTAGCAAAACAACTTTAAGTTGTATCTTTCTGAACTCTTTATTTAAAAAGCAACTTAACCCAAATTTTTAAATATTTTCATATTATCTTACTGAGTAATAAGAACATAATTTTTGTAAGTAGATTGCTCTATCTGAGCAATTTTGAAATAGTGTGAACATATTTATAAAATGACTACTTTTATTTGGAAGTTTAAAATACCATTTGTAAAAAAGAAAATATATAGGGTCACAGATCATCAAAATACTATTGAGTTTGTATTTACTCTATCACTCTTATATTTCTTGTCCTTTTTTATTTCATAGTATGTTTTTTGGTAAAATAATGCAGCTCTTAGAAATGCAAAATACTACTTCTACTATTAGCCTTGACATCCTAAAGGGCAAGGGAGAAAATACAGTACTCTTGATTTTTTTTCCCCCCATTCTTAAAATTTTCATTAAAAGTCAGTTAAAAATTTAGGACCAAAAAAATTTATTAATGCATTTACATTTCATCTGTACCTTCCCCACCCCTTTTATTTCTTTTTCCTCATCTTGACAGTTGAGGCTGCCTTTCATTTCAAACACACCATTGAAATTTCAGGGAATCAAAAGGATTTTTGGAAAGAGCAACAAACTCAGCCAAAGTCTATATTTGCTTGGGATTAAAAGGAACCAAATCTTATCTGTACCTCTTTTTAAGTAAAATATTTAATACTATAAGATGTTTTACTTATGTCTATGCCAAAGTATTTTATGTAACATTCAGATTATATGAAAACTGTCAGTGTCAGGAGCCAGTGTTCCTTTTACAGTAGTGTTGGTAACAGAATTTTCTCATGAGACATAAAAAATAGTTTTAATTTGGAATTTCTTTTGAAAAGTTTACTATGTCAGTAAATATTGGGCAAAATATTGAATGATGCAGCAGGAAGCACCAAAAGAAGATAGAAGAAATACACAGTCATGTACCAAAGAAAATTGACCCCCCACTGAATCATTTTAGGAGATAGCATATGATCAAGAACCAGTAGTAATGTAGTTCAAGCTGTATTGAAGACATTGACCAAAAGAATATGGCCCCTGAATTGATAAACTGTCAGTTGATGCAGATACAAGCAGATGCAGCCCTGGACATGCTCACTAGTCAGTGTCAAGAAATCTAGATGACAACTACTTAGTCAACTGACTAGAAGAGATCCATATATGTGCTCATTACAAAAAACTAATCCAACAGAATATAAATTATTAAACAATATCATTATTATCACACAACACAAGTAAAATTTTGCTGAAGATTATTTTAAAATAACTGGAGCAGTACATTGGTAGCGAACTACCAAAATTCAAGCTGGATTCAGTTGAGGCTATGGTAAATGTGATATCATTGCTGATATCAAATGAGTCTTGGCTGAAAGTAAAGAATTCCAGAAAAGATATTTACTTGAGTTTTGTTGACTGTATGGATCATAAAAAATTATGAATAACATCAAGAAGAATGGTAATCTCAGAGCACTTAATTGTGTTCATGTGGAACTTGTGCTTAAACCAATAACCAGTTGTTAGAACAAGGAGATATAACTTTGTTTAAAAGTGCACTTCAGGGTTGAGGGCAACTGGGTAGGAATGGAGAGACCCAAAGGTCTGAGCAAGATAGAATGGAAGCATCTATAGCTCTGGAGTCTTGTATGTCAAAATCTGCCATTTCTTGTCCCATGAGGAAGGGACACTTCTTTGGATCAAGCTGTGGTGAAAAATGTTTCAGAAAGGCAAAATACGGCACAGTAGCCGCAGTCCCCAAAGCCGTGAAATCAGTACTTAAGAGCAAGTCTGTAGATTCCAGCCTTGGGGGGTTTCACAGTACTGTAGCCGGCCTTGGTACAGATTCCACTAAAAGCTTAGGACAAAGCAACAATAATTCAGATACTTGTGCAGAATATCTAATAAAGCACATTGGTGTCATTGAGAAACTAAATGTTTCAGAGGGAAAAAGTCTGGAAGGGCCACTAGACCTGATAAATTATATAAATGTTGCCCAGCAAGAGGGAAAGCTGTCTTTTGTTCCTCTGGAGGAAGAATTTATTATGGGAGTTTCCAAATATGGTATAAAAGTGTCCACATCAGACCAGCATGATGTTTTTACATAGACATGCTCTCTATTTAATCATCAGATGGTGTGTTATGATGATGGTCTGGGGCAGGAAAAAGCTTACTGGCTTTGAAGATCGCAGATGCAAGTAATGAAGAATACAGTCTCTGGGTTTATCAGTTTGTAAAGTTTTCTCCACTGCTTTTGACTCTGTCTTAACATCTGAGAAATCCTGAGTTCTACAATCAAGTGAAGTCACCTTCATTTGAAAGTTTATTTGCATCCTAAATAGTTGTTTCGATCAGCAACGTGGAAGTATTGTGGAAACTGAAAGCATTGTTCTGGAATTTATCAAGAAAATGCAATGTATTTGAATCACCAAGATCTTTAAATGTTACTCCAAAACTTTCTTTTGAAGGTAGTGACTCCAAGAGAAGAGGCAGAAAAAAGACAATCTACAGGTATGAAGAAATAAAATTTCAGCTACTTCTTAAGGAAAATTTGGTATTTACAAAAGATTGAGTGTTGAAATACTCCAAAACTAATGAAAAGTGGATATGAATTGGAACTTAACTCAATGGAAAAGGGTTTTTTAAATATTTGAATAATAGCGTTCAGCTATGTCACTAGTCATCCTAATACTGTAGCAGATTAGTAAAAGAGAAATAAAAATTATGTTTTGGTTTTAATCAAGTATTGATAATTTGTTTTTATAATAAAATGTATCTTAAACAGAAAAAAAAGTACACTTCAGGACTGTATCATTTCTTCATACCTGTTCAGTCTATATGCTAAACAGTTCATTCAAGATGCTAGACTCTATGGAGCTCTGGTGGCCTAGTTGCAAGAAGCACTGCAATCCTGAAGGCACGTGATTTGAGGCCACCAGTTGCTCCACTGGAGAAGGATGAGCAGTCTCTTCCTGTGTGATAACTGCCTCCGTAAACCCACCAGAGGGTCAGCTATGGGTCTGTTCTGACACATATGGTACACAACAACAGACTCTATGAAGAAGAATTTGTATGGCTTCAGGATTAGAGGAGAATTCTACAGTTTAAGTTACGCAGATGACACAACTTTGCTTACAAAAAGTGAAGAACACTTAATGCACTTATTGAAGGAAGACAGAAAACTACAGCCTTTCATACAGTTTAAACAACAACATGATAAACAGAAAAGAGAAAAGATTGATGTTGTTAAAGATTTCATTTTACTTGGATCCACATTCAACACCCATGGTAGGAGAAGTCTAGAAAACAAAATAAAAAAATAATAAAAGTGTGTTGCATTAGGAAAATCTGCTATCCAGGATCTCTTCAAGCGCTAAAGAACAACTATATCAGTTTAAAGACTGATATACATCTGATCTAAGCCATAGTTTTTTTAGTTGCTTCATAGCATCTGAAGGTTAAACTGAGAGTGAGTAAGACTGAAGAAGAATCAGAGCTGTGGTGTTCACAAAGAATATTTTGGACTGCCAAAAGAACAAAGAACTCTATCTTGGAGGAAGTGTAGCTAGGATATTTAGAGACAAGAATGGTGCAATTTTATCTCACATACTTTGCACATGTAGTCTCGGTAGATGCCAGTCTTTGCAAAGAGACTTGATATTTAGAAAAGCAGAGAGTTGTCAAAAGACAGGGAAAAACTTAGAGCTAAGAGTAAATAATATATGTGGTATATAGTAAATTTTCAAACATGTTTGATATTTATTAATAACATTTTAATATAATTCACATGCTGTAAAACTTACTATTTCATATTACACAAATCAGTGATTTTTAATATCTTGTCAATTAATTAGGCAACAGTTACAAATAGACCATTTTCTTACTGCCAAAACAGACCACAGTGTGTTACTGATAATTAATTTAGAGAATAGTCCATCTTTTTTTGTCTCAAAATAAGGAAGTAGCATACTTGAATGAATAATAGCTGACTTATAACCAAATTTAGCCAGTTTTATAAATTAGATCAAGATTTTGTACAGAAACTTCATTGAGAACATATTGCCTAAAGTTATTTTTCAATTTTAACTATTCAAATCCCCAAGCATTTCATTTATAGATTTAAGTAATTCCTTATGTCATAAACAAGATATAGCTCAGCAAATATTTTGTCATGAGATTACTTTCACTTCCAATATAATCCTTTTGCTAAATATTAGAAGTATGTAATCTTTACTCCTTAAAACTACCAAGAAAATAGCTCTAGGTGATGCTTAATTTTCACCTTTGAGCTTTAATAATCATTCCTTTTCGTTTAAGATGCCAGTGACAGTGGACGTTCTTATAAAACAGTCTTGGACCGTTGGCGAGAATCTCTCCTTTCTTCTGCTAGTCTATCCCAAGTGTTTCTTCACCTCTCCACCTTGGATCGTAGTGTCATATGGTCTAAATCAATACTGAATGCCCGCTGCAAGATATGCCGAAAAAAAGGTGATGCAGAAAATATGGTACTTTGCGATGGCTGTGATCGGGGTCATCATACCTACTGTGTTCGGCCAAAGCTAAAGGTATCTTGCTTCTAATACTTGAGATTAAAATTGAGGTATTGAGATTTTAAATGACAGGTGAGTAATGGTCATTTATGTGATTTGTCAGACTGTTCCTGAAGGTGATTGGTTTTGTCCAGAATGTCGGCCAAAGCAACGTTCCAGGCGACTCTCTTCTAGACTGAGACCATCCTTAGAAAGTGATGAAGACATGGAAGCCCAAATGGAATGTGAGGATGATGAAGTTGATGATGATGAAGATAGTCAAAGTGAGGAGGAAGAGTATGGGGCAGAACAAGATGAAGATGACTCTCAAGAAGAGGAAGATATCAGGTAAGTCTGAATATGTAATAAAAATGACACAGTGAGTCTTAACTTGATAATCTCTTAACTGTTCAATACAAGTAAAGTTCACTGGGGTCAGTTAATTTTTGTATGTTAATGTAATCTAGTGGCCTGGTGTAGTACCCTTGCTTCATAGGATCTGTGTGAGCTTAGCTAAATAATAAAATCTGGTGAGTTCATGTTTGGACAGAAGAAATGCCAACTTGGGCCCTCATCAATGTTGATTTTACTTAGTAGTAGCCCTTAAACAAGTAAGGAATAGAAAAATAGTCGTTAGAGCAAGGTAAATTCAGTTCCTCAATGCTTCCCTTACTTTGTTGGCAAGGTGTATTAGATAATCGGGATGTTGGCAGTCTGCAGAGACAGCATCTACTTCTATCATGTCAACACTAAAAAGCTAAGTATTACACAGTATAACAAGCTGTGTTACTCAGACCTAATGACTGATTTTAAATAAGTCATAAGGACAAGTCATGTGCTACTCATTTTCATCACAACTATTTTTTTCACTTAGTTTTTAAAAATTTGGACACCATTCATCTTAAATCGGGAAAATAAATGTCAAGCAAGGGCAATCTAGAACGGCTGGGTACTAGTTAGTCTAAAAAGACTATGTAGAGAATGCCATCCCAGCTATCAGGAGCTAAAATGAAAATATTTTGTATTTTACAGTGAGAGTCAGAAGATAATAAAGGGGTGCTTGGCTTTAGGGATCATAGGTTCAGGATCTACTTCAGTGGCAGCCATTGGTCAAAACTGTGGGTTACTTCAGTGTCATTGGCAATAAAAAGTGATAAGACTCTGTAGCAGAAGATATGTGCAGGAACACCCCCCTATCCCCAGTGGGCTCTGACCCTATCCACTCCAAGGCTTTTCCCATTCAAGTCACTGGCAAGAATTCCCCAGCTTCCCCAAAGCACTAGTTTTAAATGAGTTCATTTACCCTTCATAGTTTTCAATATGATTGACTACATCCAACCATCGTTAGTGGTTCTTGTGAGGATTTTATGATAATGTTCAGCAATGCTCTGTACAGTAATTTTGTTTTCTAATATTTATAGCCCACCAAAACGAGGAAGACCTCAAGTTAGACTGCCAATTAAAACAAGAGGGAGACTTAACTCTTCTTTTTCAAGTCGTGGCCAACGACAAGATCCAGGGAGATATACTTCAAGGAGTCAGCAGAATACACCTAAAACAATTGTTTCCTCTAAAACTTCTGGTAGAAGCTTAAGAAAGATCAAGTCTGCACCCCCCTCAGGAACAAAATCATTAAGAATTGCCAGTCGTTCTACTCGCCAGAGTAATGCAGATGTATTTGTGGAATTACTTAGTCCTCAGAGAAAACGCCGAGGAAGGAAAAGTGCTAATAATACAGCGGAAAACAGTCCCAGCTTCCCTAACTTCAGGGTTATTTCCACAAAGTCAAGTGAATCACCAAGATCTTTAAATGTTACTCCAAAACTTTCTTTCGAAGATAGTGACTCCAAGAGAAGAGGCAGAAAAAGACAATCTACAGGTATGAAGAAATAAAATTTCAGCTACTTCTTAAGGAAAATTTGGTATTTACAAAAGATTGAGTGTTGAAATATTCCAAAACTATCGCTTCTCGGCCTTTTGGCTAAGATCAAGTGAAATATTCCAGCACTAATGAAAAGTGGATATGAATTGGAACTTAACTCGATAGAAAAGGGTTTTTTTAATATTTGAATAATAGAGTTCAGCTATGTCACTAGTCATCCTAATAATGTAGCAGATTAGTAGAAGAGAAATAAAGATGATATTTTGGTTTTAATTAAGATGTTGGGCAATATTTCATCATTCCAATATATAACACATTGCAATTCATTCCACTGTCTTCCATTTTTGCCTTTCTTAAAACATAACCTAAAAAAAAACAAAAAAAACCAAAAACACATACCTAACAAATTACCACCTAGATAGGACCTTAGGTTATTTGATAGGATTCCCTCTGTCCTACTAGATTTTTTTATGGGAGTGGGTAAGGAAAGAGGAAGAAATATTTTTGGAGGATAATAACCAGCTGAAATCTCTATGTAGCACAAATATTTCATGTAATTGGCTGCTTGACAAAGGGGTAGTTCATTTCCATCAGCTCCTTAGAAGACATACCTGACTTGAGAAAATCAACCATTGAAAACCCGTTGGAGCACAGTTCTACTCTGAAGGCATGGGTTTGCTGTGAGTCAGAATCAACTTGATGATAACTGGCTTTGATTTAATCTTTTTAATTCTTGATAACTACTATTTTTAATAATCCTACTCCTTTGTCCATTTGTCAATTGCCTCAGTCTTATCTTTTCTTAAAAAAAGTAATAATAAAGGTTAAATATTCCAAAAATGCACAATTCAGTGACATTAATAACATTAATCATAATTTGCAACCATCACCTTTTTCCATTTCAAATTTTCTATCACCATTAATAGATAATCAGTGCTGCTTACAATGATTTCCCCTTCCTCATCCTTCCCATCTTTCCCTGGTAGCCATGAATAAATGTTGGTCTCTATACATGTGCCAATTCTAGATATTTCATGTAAGTGGGGTCATAAAGTATTATTTAATCAGAAATTATAAAGACCAAAAGGAAACTACAAATAATTAGTTCAGATTTTTATATTTGTCAGAAAATAAGTTCAGAGTTTGATATCATTTCAGTATATAAAGTGTCTATTTTCTGATTGATATCTTTTTATATGCTCAATTTAGCTTATAGTCACAAGATCATTTACTTTGCTTTCACCTTTGAAAATTATTTCATTATTTGCTCAGAAACATCTCCTGTGATACTGAATCGAAGGAGTTCAGGTCGACAGGGAGGAGTTCATGAACTGTCTGCTTTTGAACAGCTTGTTGTGGAATTGGTACGACATGATGACAGCTGGCCTTTCTTGAAATTGGTTTCTAAAATTCAGGTATTGATATTATTAAACTTTATAAAATACTTTCATATCTTTTATTTAGTCCATCTAATTTTTAGTTAGTTGAGGAAGAGTACTGCATATCTCAGACTGCCAGAAGAACAAACGTGTTTTGGAGAAAGTGCAACCAGAATAGAGGCAAGAATGGCAAAGCTTCATCTCACATACTATGGGCATGTCATTAAAAGAGGCCATATGTGAGAAGGTCAGGAGAAGTCCTTCATAGAAATGGACTTGACACAGTGAGTGCAGCAATATTTCAAGTATGTCAGAGATGATAAGGATAGGGCAGGGTTTAAATCTGATGTTCAAAGGGTCATTATGAGTTGTACTCAACTTGACAGCACATAAAAACAAACTTTCAAGTAGTCAAATAGCTTTTATTTACTATAGTTTTCTTTAAAGAAGAAACTACTTGAAAAAATACAATAAAACAATAAACTTGTAAGGTTGATTCTTAAAGTGAAAAAAAAAAATATTAGATACCATAGTCTCCCCAGCTATTCCTAATTCTGAGATTGATTCTTATAAATTATGATTATATTAAACTTCAAAGGGTTTTTTTCTATACAATGAGTAGGAATAGAGTTCTCTGGCCTGAGTATCATTAAGAGTATTTATATGATATAATACAGTAGGTCTCAAACTTAGGCAAACATCAGAATCAACTGACGGTATATTAAAATGTAGATGGATGGGGTCCTTTCGAGAATTTCTAGATCTATGATGATAACAACTACTTGCATTTCTGGCAGATGTCTAGATCACGCTGATGATGCTAGGTCAGAGACACCCCACCACCTCCCTATTCTGAGAAAAGCTGATGTAAAAGATAGATACTCTTAGATTAGGTAATACAGACTATAGACAAGAACAAAGGTTATACTTATAGAGCTTGGTCTACAGCTTGGTGGTGTGTAGTGCATACATTTTTGGGCTACAAGCCAACAGATGTGTGATTTGAATCCAGTACTCACTCTGTGGGAGAAAACTGAGTCTCTTCCTGTAAAGATTTACAACTTTGGAAACTAAATGGAGTCTGAAGAGGGTATATTAGGGAGACTTGGACTTTTAGAGTATAAAAGGCTTCACCCACTAGGATCTCAGAAAAGTTTATATATTTGAAAACCTATTGTTAGTACCAATAAGAGATTAATTATATTGAGATAACTAAGGGAAATAATATTCTTCCGCTATTCACAGCTTATTGTAATCAATTTAATTGGTCAAATGTATACTATAGAGTTAAATCATAATAGACAATGATGCAAAATTCTTTAACATTTAAATTGCAATCCAAGCATTCAGTGTCTTGATTCATGTTAACTTCCTTGTGTTCCATTCTGACACTAATGAATCACTTGTTCATGTTGCTGTAAAAACTCTCTGGGCGTTGCCTTCTTAACAGAGAACAGTATAGTAATTCTCTAAGAATTTCTAGAAAGTAATTTGTGTGTGGAGGGAGAGAGAACATAGCATAAATACCACAATTGCTTTCTTTTCACAATAAATTGTTAACATTCTTTATGATAACAAAAGCACTTCTACAAAATTATAACTGAAATCTATTAATTGATTTAATGGAATAATGCTACTCAAATGTTAATATTGATTAGTTTTTCAAATGCAAATCTTTCATGTATTTGACCACTTGCCTCAGATTTTCTGTATACAAATACTTGAATTCTTTTACAGGTCCCAGACTATTATGACATCATCAAAAAACCTATTGCCTTAAACATAATTCGTGAAAAAGTAAACAAATGTGAATATAAATTAGCATGTAAGTAATTTGCTTTAATTTTATGTTTGTTTATTTATTTATAAAAGAATAAAGAAAATCCACCAGATGCTCTGCTGGAGAAGGAGGAGGCAATCTTCTCCTGTACCAGTCAGATCTGATTTGACGGTACACGTAAAAACAATACAATAAAAATTTTTTAAAAAATTTTTAAAAAAAAAGCAGTTGTGTCAAAACTTAAAAAAAAAAGAATAAAGACTATGTTGTTCTTCATTAAAACTGGATATATCATATCATGTAGTATATATAACACCCCAAGAAGTCCCTAAAATGCTTATTAGTATTCATAGATGGGTGGGGATTAAATGAGTTGAAGCCATTTTGCAGAATTTAGTCTCTCTTTTTTTTTTCTTTTTCCTTGTTGTGTACCATTAAATCAGATCTGACTGGCACAGGAGATTGCCTTTTTCCAGCAGAGTATCAGGTGGATTTGAACTGCGTGCTTTGGGGATTGTGGTGCAGCTTCTTGCTACTAGGCCACCCGAGCTCCCTTCAGAATTTAGTCTTAATAAAGGGAGTTCAATGTAATTATGCATAACATATTTAATTGTAGTTTAATTTTAAAACCATTTTAAGCCTCAATTCTGCTGTCGATTCAGCATCTTATAAAGGGGAGGAAGATGGACTTTCTTTTTCATAATGTTTCTGAACGTGAATACAAATTAGACTTAAAGTTTAATATGAAAGTTTTTTCCATACTCACTTTTTTTTCATCTTTCTTCATTTTTAGCTGAGTTTATTGATGATATTGAACTAATGTTTTCGAACTGCTTTGAGTACAACCCTCGTAATACAAGTGAAGCAAAAGCTGGAACAAGACTTCAA